ATTGTTGTAATTAGATCCACTAAGTGCTGTTATTGTTCAGCCACATATTCCATTCTATTCTATTCACAGTCAATCTCAAATAAACATATTAATAATGTCTTTCAGACATACTTTTATGATTTCTGCTGCCATGACCTATAAGCTTAACATGTTTTGTGTGTAATAATTTTTTATACTCATCTTTACAAAGAAAATACTTCTGTTGTTTGTTTTGAAGGGCTCCTTTGAGAAAAACCCTAACAATTTACAAGACGTAATGCTCTTAAGAACTTAAGTTCCTCCTGCAAGGAATTTAAGTTCCTGAAGCCAAAGCCAATATCTTAAGTCATCACATACTTCCTACCCAGGTACAGGAGGCATTTAGTAAAATACTCGTTCAATAAACAACCTCTTCTGATTTTTACAACAATGCACGCACAGTTCTCTTGATTGTAGTTATTATATACAACACAAAGTGAGCTTTACTTTCATGATTAACATCTTTTATATCAACTTTTCCATAAACCCACAGGGCCTCCACATCTGACACAGTAATACCATACACTCTTCTCTAAACTGGGCTGGGAACTTATGCCCGGGGAATGTCAGCAACAAGAGGCTGAGGTGTCAGTGAGGCTCATCAGACCCTGCTCTGCCAATCTACGTACTTACTTGAGGGTTTGAAAAAGCTACTAAAAGAGTAAAAAATCATGCTGCAGTGAGTTAAATTATGAAAAATCTACCTAAAGAAAAACTAGTCGAGTCAAACCAGGGATGGTGGCACACAACTATAATCCCAGTTCTGCAAGTTCCAGACTACAAAGTGATTTCAAGGCCAGCCTGAACTACCCAGCAAAACACTCTCTCAAAAAGCTAAAAAAAAAATAAATAAAAAACAGTCAAAGGGGAATGGAAATGGAAATGGGGTTTGTCCCACAATATAACATGCATGTCAGTGAGAGCATTTTCTTGAAATTTCAAACACAACTATATAGTTAAAGATTGGCCCCATTAAATGATGTTCTCAGGTTCCTCATCTTATAAGATGTGATTCCAGCAGTATCCCGCATAGAATAACTTTAGAAAAATTATCTGATTAAAACAGCTTCCACCACAATGTGAAATATAATCTCTCAACACACACGCGCACACACACACACACACACAAAACATTGTGAAATTCAATTTTAGGTAGATCCATGTTGGACCCACACAGAGGTGGTGGGGATCCAGTGCTGTGATACCAGAAGGGCTAGATTCATTGATGGAACAGCTTCATAGAGCTGACTCAAAGCAGGCTTCATTCCCAGGCTCTGGGTCACACCCATACACTGCCAGGTATGGCAAAGAAGGAAATACTGGTACCAACTACTGCAGGGCTTTGCTTTAGTGACAATGGAAACTAAAACTAAAGCACAAATTTTCAGGGGAAAAAGCTTTAACTGGAAGATAGGAGAAGAAAAGGAAAGGATTCCAGCTTGGGCACACTCTGATGTGGGGGTTCAGACTGCCCCACCCACAAAAGCAGGAAACCAGTTATTTATGGACTAGCTGAGATGGGCCAGGGCCTGGTCAATTATAATCTCAGTCCTGGTCTCCTAGCTGTGGTTGAATCCTCACGACTTGAGGAGCAATTTGGTTCCCAAGAGATGAACTGTCCTGAGATGAGGGCTCTTCTCAGTCACATGAACCTCCATGGACTCCAAGGTGACTTTAGGTTTATAGCAATAGAGATTTTGGGGTAGCTGAAGGCCCTCCTCGCACATCTCATAAGCGGTACCCTTAGTTCTGAAGGGCAATGAGACATAACAGGTAAATTTAGGGTTAATAAACCTTGTTTTGGCAATCTTTAGACAGATATTCCCTAAGTAACATGCCTACTGAGCTATGTCATGGCTATGTGTCAGATACTTGAGTTTGAGGATATTAGAAGAAGTTGTTTCCAGTCACATAGTGCTTGCATTAGGGGGGATTCTATAGTAAACAAGAATTTTTAACAAAGAGTAAATATAAAGTCGAATTTGGTTAAGTTAAAATTTAAAGTGCTCTCTGAAACCTAGCATATATAGTATTAATTATAATGATTTTCTACTTAAAAGTCTGACAACCAGATTGTTTTTAAATTTCAAAGGCTACCTTCTCTTACACAGCACAAACTAAAATAATTTGTTATCTGACATCTAAAAATCAGATTAGTACCTACCTAAGTGAGTACTACACACTTCACTTTATAGTGAGTCATCATGAGTAAGCTTTCAATTATTTTCTTTAGAAAGCCAGGATACAAATATGTCTCAGTCTGTGCATTGCATTAAGTTCCTTAAACGAAAAAAAAAAAAAATCGAAAGATTTCATACTTGATTCCTCTTGAATACTTCACAATGATACAAAGTTACATTGTCAGGCCTAGTTTTTGTTTTTATTATTGTAAGTTTACTGTTTAGAAATTATACTGCATTTCATCTTTGGCACATTACAGAGGTTAGTAAAAATCCCACCAAAATCTACTTAATTCCTGACAAAACTAATGTGGTTGGTACTTACCAAGTCCTCAAATTCCTCTTTTTATTAGAACATGTTTCAGTGCATATTTTAAACATCCTGTATTACGAAAGCTTAGTCAGCTGACCTGGGGAGAACAGGCATTGACTCACTGCACTCACTGCCAAAGCCTCTGCACTGGTCCACCAGTCTCCCTCCTGGGTACTGTCCTTCATTGTGCTGCTACTTTTTTTTATCCCAAAACCTGACTGTCACACTCCACTGAACACTTCTGCCTAAAGAGTGTCCTGCAAAGTAAAGTCTGAACCCCTATGCTCAGCACAGACGATTCCCTAACTGGCACCAGTCTTCCAGTTTTTACCTTCCATCTCTCACTTTCATAGAGTCCATCCAGAGTCAAACTGCCAGCCTCGTCATTTCCTAGCAAGTCTTCTCACTCCTCCCACACTCTTGCAAAAACTCTTTCTTCTACTTAGGAGGAATTCCCACCCTTTCACTTCAAAAACTCACCCATTTAGTTCAGTTCAAGTATCACTTTATAAAACCTCCCACAACATCCCTCGGAGACACGTAGGCGTCTGGACATCCTTGGCCCCTCCACAAGCACTGAGGCTGGTGTTTATGGGCGATAGAGAAAGGTTGGCTAAATTTGCTTTTGGCTTAAGTGAGGGGCTGGCCATACATATCCCACTGAAGCCACACTTAAAGGCCATAAAGATATTCCATTCATTTTTGCACGTATGTAATAATAAACATAAACAAGAACTAAAAGGTACTTTATATTTACAAATATGTATCATGAATTACTAGCACTCCAGATGTGTCATCTACTTTATTTAAATATTGGTAGATGGTCTACCTAGAATACCACAGGAAAAGTAGTCCCAGAAAGGCTTAGCAACATTCTCTTCAAAAATCGTTTCAGTATTTTGAGCTTAAAGATTTTGACACTGTGGCAAACTGACTTAATTTTAAACGAAAAGGCCAAAGACAAGAAAAAATGTAATGTGTTTTCGAAAGATCAACATGCCTGTTTTGAACTTTTCCATCATCACCTTCGGACAAATCTCAAAGCAATAATTCAGTAAAAACACATTCTCCAACATACTCCATTGCTGCTTGAAAAAATATAGCCATGCAAACAATACTTGAATACAAAAGCCAACCTAAATAAGTTATTTCCAGAAAATAACGAAGGTACTGATGATTTGTTTCCACTATGCTTGGGCATCTTCAATATAAAGAGCTCACGTCTATCTTCGCGGGAAGTTTCACAATTCAAAACGATTGCACATAAATGATTGCATTCTTAACAACAATCCTGTGCGTTAAACAGCGCAGGGCTTATTTTGTGGGCTTAAGGCAATATGAACTCAGCCCGAACACAGATGAAAGCCTGGCTACAACAGAGCTCTTAGTTTCCAAAAAGCAGTTCTTACTATAACGAAAATGGCCCAGGACAAACGAGCTCCCTTTGCTCGCTCCGGATCACCGCTGAGTCTTGCTCCATGGACCCTCTAGTGACTCCGCTAAAGAAATGAATGTCGGAATCGCAGATTATCACGACCTCGGACAACAATTCCATCCCGGGTCTCCTACCGAGCAAAAGCCACCAAGCCGGCAGGCGAGCGAGGGCCCGAAGCTCCTGCACCGACCAAGAAGAGCGCAGCCCCGGGCGCGCACCCGCCGCAGGCTCGGCCCGACCCCGCTGCGGAGTCCCGGGCCCCCAGCGGCCGCGCTCGCGTGGGAGCGGGAGTGGGGCCGGGGCCCGGGAGAGGAGCCCGACGCCCGCAAGGCCAGCGCGGTCCGGTACCGTGCGCAGCCCGCGCCCCCCGTGCCCCGCTCCGTACCCTGCCCCGACCCCAGCCCCGGACTCCGCGGGTTCACGCCGAGCGTCCACGCGCGGGAAGCAGCGGTCCCAGACCGTGGAGCTGGAGACCCACCTGGCCGCTCCCCACTGAGAACCGGGCCCACCAGACCGAACCACAGCAACCACTGGACACGGAAGGTCCCGGGGGCCGAGTCCGCGCCCGACCGCATTTCCACAGATGCAGCAGGTTCCCCTCAGCGCTCGGTCTCCGCCTCGTCCATCATCTCACAACTCTGCGGGGCCCCGCGCGGGCCAGGATGCGCGCGCCCACGGGCGAGCATGCGCGCGGCACTGACGCAACCCAGCCCGCGCTCCGGGCTCGCTCCCGGCAGCGCGCTCGCTCTGCTGACGTAGGAAAAATCCATTCCCGGCGGGAGAATGGATTTCTAAACTGGTTGAGGGAATCCGCAGCGGCAGGCCCCGCCCAGTTACTATCTGTTCCGCCCACTACGTCTCAAACCCACCTACTTTCGGGTCGAGGAAAATGATTGGACCAAATGCCCGTAGTGTAAGGAGGAGGAGCGCGGGACCCCGGAAAGGAATTGAAAAGCGAACCACAATGCTGCTTTCCTACCACCCTGTTTTCTGATTGGCTTTAAGGATGGGCGGGGCGTCGCACTGCATGCCCATTGGCTGTCCGGTAGCAGGCAAGCGCAGCTGCCAGATACTGCAGGTTTAGCTGCACTGCACCCACCTGGCTTTGTGGTTGAGGCCGGCCCTTGGCTGTCAGGCCTGGGAAGATGGTGCTGGGCGGTTGCCCGGTGAGTTACTTGCTTATGTGCGGTCAGGCGGCTTTAATGCTGGGTAATCTCCTTCTGCTGCATTGCGTCTCTCGAAGCCACTCGTACAATGCTACCGCCGAACTTGAGCTCACATCGGCGGGCGCCGCCCACCCAGAGAGCCTGGCCGGTGCTCTGAACTGGGAATACAGCGACCCCCAGTCTCCTGTCATCCTCTGCTCTTATCTGTAAGCCACCTGTGGTCGAGGAGGGTGGAAGTGGAGACCAGGCCGGGATCACGCCGGGGTGATGGGAAGCGGGAATGGGGCGGAGGATACTTGGACGCTCGCCACCTGGAGACCCTATCTAGGGCAAGTAGTCATCACGACAGATTCCGCGCTCGGCTCCCTTGTGTCAGTGGCAGATTTGGGGGTCCTGAAAGCAAACGGAGAAGCGTGCAAGACAGTGGCTGCGATTTCTCTCTCCCGCTCCCTTTTAGCCAAAGGAGAATCCACGGGTACTTAGTGAAGCACAAATGGAATAAATGACTTGTTACAAAAGCAGTAACCGTACCATTGCAGAAGCAAACCATTTTTTAACAGGGGCTTTTGGTGAAAAGGAAAGGGCTTTGGAAAAAGCAGAGCATTGAGAGTTCCTTGATTTAAATGCTGCTCTCATAGTCTTGTGCTTGTTTGCCTTGGAAGAGATGAAACCCTAGTAGAGGTGGAATGCTAGTGGAAACAGGACTAGAAACAACTCCCCCCAAAAAAGAGTCATTTTGGTGACTGTTAATGTGACCTGCTGTGCTTCAGGGTCATTGACACTACCACTGGGCTGGGAAAAGGGTCTACAGAGTGAAAATGAGGCCCAGAAAATGTAATGACGAAATGGCTCTTGTCTGTTTTCATTGGGTACAATTAAACAGCAGTTTGCAAAGAGGATAATGATGATCATGATCTGACTGGTGATTTTCAGACCTGATGAATTTATACACTGTGATGACCCCGTGGATCATGTTGGAAATTCAACAGCGTCCCAGGAACTTGGTTACGGTTGCCTCAAGGTGAGCTTTTTGTTTTACTATGTAAGCAAACTTCCACAGAGAAATAGTACTGGCTGAATAAGGTATTTGGTATCCTCAGGAAGGAGCAGTTTCTGCACCAAAACCACCCAGGTGCAAAGAACAGTCTGCCTTTGGTTCCTTTGGCCGTGGAAAGTGACATTTCAAGTAAGTGAAATGTCACTTATCCTTTAAGGAGTGCCCTTTCTTGAAGAACAAAAGAAAGGCTGTACACTTTCTAAAACTGATTACAGATTGAGCATTTTCTTTGTTACAAACACATTTGGGGCAAAGCTCTTCTTGCTGCTATTGCTTTTCAGCAGGTTGCACCATGTCCTTAGGAAGTTGATAGAGTCTATTAGGAGATGTCTTAGTGTTTTTTTGTTTGTTTTTGGTTGGTTTTTTTTTTGTTTTGTATTTTTCTTTTTTATCGGTACTGGGAATCGAACTCACCACCGCCTGCTTGCAAGGCAGGTGCTTATGCCGCTGAGCTAAATCCCCAGCCCCTAGGAGATAATCTTTATAGGAGGTTGAAGTGGTGAAGGAGAACCTTTGATAACAATGAGCTTTTGAAATGGAAAGAAGCCATTCAGATGTATTAATAATATCCCTAAATCTAAGATGTAGACTTCTAGTCAGTCTCCAAACATCAACAAACCCATGTATTACCTCTGTACTGTGATAATGCAAAATTCAACCATGCATTAAGAGAACTACAGGAAAACATTTGTATACTAAATCAGACACAGTAATTAACTTTACAGTAACAAAAACCAGAAGGCAACTCTTACTGAGTCATATAAAAAGAAATGTTTTTTTTTTTTTTTTTTTTTGGGTACCGGAGATTGAACTCATGACCTCACATTTGCCAGGCAGGCGCTTAATACCACTGAATAAATCCCCAGCAAGAAAGAAATATTTTAAATAGTGATATTTTGTTCTATTAAGAATTACTGATTAAAAGCTTTATTAGCATTGTAGAGCATTGTACTTTTGCCCATTTTAATTAAAAACTAAGTTTATCCTGTGAAGGCAGTCAGATGTAGGCTCGCCCAGAAGTTCTAAGGATTGGCAGGACTTGGGAGGCACTGGGAGTTAACCAGCCTTGTTTTTCCAGGTGCTTCCCTTTGAGCAACACTCCAATAATAGTAAAGTACCAGTAAGGTATCAATAAAAAAATATCAGCTGTGTTTTCCCTGCTAGCATCCAGTTAAGCAAAGAGTAAGAGGCCAGGGTTTTTTCAAAACTTCTTGCTGGAATTTAAATTTACATTATATGGACTGCAGATACCTGATAGTCACCCATTGTGCCCTAAGTAAAATCTGGAGTCAGCTGACATTGTGAATTTTCTAATTCTGTTAACTTTTAAGATTTTTATTAGCCCATGTTTGCAGTACATAATGATTACAGCCATCAAGGCACATTGGTACACAGGCACATAACACATCTTAATTCTTTTTACTTCCGCTTTAATTCTGCTGACATAGGACCAGTTACACATTGACTTTTCTTTTTCTTTTTTTCTTTGGTACCGGGGATCAAACTCATGACCTCATGCTTGCCGAGCAGTTGCTTGTGCCGCTGACCTAAACTCCCAGCCCCACTTTGACTTTTTAAACACTCATTTTCAGATGCTTGATTGTGTGCTGTTTTTCATGCAAATATAATTTTAAAGCATATTGTCGATTTCTTCTAAATGCCATTTAATCAAATTGATGGTGGATTAACTTTATTAATAAAGAAGTTAGTCATAAATTGGGGATAAGTTTATTTAAAATAATATATAGGCTAGGTGTGGTGGCATTTGCCTATGATGCCAGCACTCAGGAGGCTAAGGAAGGAGGATTGCAGCAAGTTCAAGACCAGCCTAGGGTACATAAAGAGTTCAATGCCAGCCTGAACCATATAGCAAGACCCTGCCTTAAGAACAAAAACAACCACCACTAAACTTACATTTAGAATGGACTAATCTAAAATCATTGGAAGTATGTCAGTACCCATGCAGTCTTTATCAATGAGTATAAAAGTGCACATTCTTGCATTGCTGGCTTTGGTGAGTTTGTTTTTTGCTTTGGGTTTGGTGATCATCATCGCAGTTTGGCGGTCAGGCCTACAGTGATGTGGAACACACTTCTGTCCAGTGTCGAGCCCTCGATGGAATTGAGTGTGCTAGTCCTAGGACCTTCTTACGAGAGAATAAGCCTTGTATAAAGTAAGTGTTATTTTTTTTTCATTGTATGAATGTGTGCGTGTATGTGTGTGGTATACAGAATTAAACCCAGGGCCCGTTGCTTACTAAGCACAAGCTATACTTCTGAACTGCACCTCTTGCCCAAAATAAGTGTTAATTTGAATGGGTAAAGCTAAGAGCCATTTTCATTGTCATTCTTTGGTGTTAAAGAAGTAATGCCATTACTCCAGTGCATAATCCATTGACAGAGGCGACGCAATTGTAAAAGACATTGTGACTCTTTCACTAAGAAACTGAGTATCTATGAGCACCTGGAATCCATCCCCATATCCTCAGCAAAAACTGTACCAGATGACCCAAACTCAGAAAGGCATAAATCAGGTGAAAAATGCCTTACTATTTTAGGAATCAACATTTCACCATGAAAAACAGGGTGACTTACTCTGGAACTCAGTTAAGTTAAAGGATTGGGGTCATTTCTGTAAATTCAGCTAGAAGGCACAGAATTTACTGATGTTGTTAGTTAATAGAAAGGGTCAGTGACATACCAACAACTGCAGTTAAATGTCTTCATGGTAGGTAAAGACAGAAGCCTCAGGAAGTCCTCACTTTTAGCTACCGCAAAATAGCAGGAAAGAGATCAGGAGCCCCTTTTAGGAAAATCTGTACTTCCTAGACTCTCAGAGGAGCCAGCCAAGCCTACAGAAAGGAGCCTACATGTGCACAGGGGATGTCGGGAGCACAGTTCCTCTTTCACATCTGTTAAACAAGTGTGCTTGATAATTTCTCATCCAATCCAACTCTGCAAATGTTTTATATATTATGGTGTGTGGAATTTTAAAAAATCCTTCTAACTGGGGAGAGATTGTCCCTCATAAGTCTGATGAATTCTTAAAGATAGCAAAGAGTGCTGGGCATGCTGTGGTACATGCCTGTAATCCCAGCACTTGGGAGGCTGAGGCAGGAGGATCACCATGAGTTCAGGACGGGCCTGGGTTACATAGTGAGTTTAGTGCCAGCCTGAACTACATAGAGAGGCTCTGTCTCAAGAGCAAAGCAAAAACAAAAAACTTCCTTAGAGACAGCAAAGATCTCAGCCAAGAGCATGGCCTTGATAGGCACACAAACTAATCCAGACCCATACTCCCTGAATATGCTCTGTAACTCTAGGGGAAAATATTCCTCTACATTGAGCATCCCAGGGTCAGGTGCTGGGCAACTAGGGACCACTCAGACAGCCTCCATTGCTTGAAATTACTCAATGCGCCTTGGCTCCCTATAGAGAAATCCCAGTAAAGGCCTAAGCTGTCCTTCACTCCTGTCTTCCCACCACTCCAGTGCCCCTTTGCACATGTTCCCTGGATAGCAGACCATGCCTCCTGCCTCCACCGCCCATGAGTATAATGAACTGGTTGCTTGTCAGTGTCTTTTTTTGCGTGCCTTCATGGCCACTGAGCAGACCAGAAGAGAATCCAAAATAGAGCACAGGATGCCACAGAGGGACGGTTGTACCGTTTTTTCACTAATACTAAATTCATTAACTTTTAAGTATCTTTATTTTGCTGCAGTTAAACATCTTCTTTCTTATTCCATTTACCCAGGTATACCGGACACTATTTCATAACCACTTTACTGTACTCCTTCTTCCTGGGGTGTTTTGGCGTGGACCGTTTCTGTCTGGGACACACCGGCACAGCAGTCGGGAAGCTGTTGACCCTTGGAGGACTTGGGATTTGGTGGTTCGTTGACCTGATTTTGCTCATCACTGGAGGGCTGATGCCGAGTGACGGCAGCAACTGGTGCACCATTTACTAAAAAGAGTTTCTCTTTCACCCAACGAGACAAGGGAGCCTTCTGTCTTCTGAACTCATCTCTACAGGCTCAGAATTCTTTGCTTATCCGACCTGAAAACTTCTGTCTTTGGGGAGAATGGGTTTGTAAGAAGAATTCTTTGGACAATGGATTTTTCAACCCAAATTCTACCTGGCAGACTAGAAATGACAAGCAAATGGTGTTGTGGGGATCAGATTTGCACCCTTCCTTGTGCACAAAATATAAAGGCTAATGACTAACTTATAAACTGCAGACAAGTTTCCACATTCTTTACTTCTATACATTGCTCTGTCTCCAGTCCTTTATAGGAAGGGACCCAACAAGATAGGTAAAGTAAGTGTTTTTATCTGTGTGCCTTTTGTGACCCTCTTCATACAGAGACAACCCAAAGCTGAGCCAATGAAAATCTCTAGCAGAGGGGCTGGGGATTTAGCTCAGCGGCATAAACGCCTGCCTTGCAAGTGCGCAGTCATGAGTTCAATTCCTGGTACCAATTTAAAAAAAAGAAACTCTAGCAGAAATAGAAATGGCCATGGATTTTAAAACATGAAAGTCTCACTTTTTCAATTTAAATTGTTGGATAAATTTTTCCAACCCAGAGTGCTATATGAGTATTTTCAGGAGGGAGAGTGAAACTCAAAATTATATTTGTTTTGCTGAAAGTTACTCACTGAAATGAACCACTCTGTTTATAAACACAGTATGTTCCAGAGACAATATTTGCAGTCCTGTAATTTCTTCATTTCAATTATATTTTGAAAGTGCAACAGTACTAGACAATAAGTTGAACTATCTCTTTTGGCAAAACTGTCCTATCTAAAATACCAGTGTCTTCCAATTTATGAAGCCCATGTAAAGTACGATACAGTAATAAAAAGAATATAAAACTCTTCACAATTAGGTAAGATAAAATGAGAGCTGAGGATTTAGCTCAGTGGCATAAGTGCCTGCCTGGTGAGCATGAAGTTGAAAGTTCAATCCCCGGTACTAAAAAAAAAGAATAACCATGCCTTTTAAACATATTCCTACTTAAAAAATAGCAAATATCAAGATAGAATTAGGTGATTTATGAGAGCAAGTAAAAACTAAACATATCCTTTCAAAACAAGCATGATTAAAAGCTCTTACAGTGGGCTACAACAGTCAGAAAGAGATACAGTTAAACTTTTGCATTCCCAATTCACTAGGAATGAAAGGAAATGTTCTTGATGGAACAAGAAATGGTTTTAAAAACTCAGTTTCCATCCTTTGCAATCAAGTGTAAAACAAAAGGTGGGTTTGTGTACAAGCCACACCTAGAGCAGCTATTCGGAATAATTTACAAGGGGGCTGGGAGTATAGTTCAGCAGCAGAGCACTTGCCTAGCCTATGCAAGGCCTGGATTTGATTCCCCGTGCTGCAAAAGAAGGGCAGGTGGGATTAAAAATCCAGAAGCAGAGAAAGTAGAAGTTCTCAGTTTACTTTCATAGCTGACTTAAGACCAAAAATTAATTCCTTGAAAATGTTCCATCATTTCATAACATCGTTTGCCCCGTTCATCATATATCTGGTTAATATGATCACTGTTCTATTACTAGAGGTAACTGCGGGAAAAGTTACAACAAATTACTTTGTTCTCTCTTAAAAATACTGTTATCATATTGACCTTAACCTTGCTTATAACAGCATTAAGTGGTGGATTCTTATTATATAATCTCTATATTCTAGGGCAATATTTTATAATTGTTACAGATTGTCAAGAAACTAGATTCCTCAGATAAATATGCATACATATGAAATTTTGCATAGAATTTAATAGAGGATCAAAGTTACCAAATTCAAAATAAAACAAAACAAAACTTAGTTTTGGCCCAGGTATATAGCTCTTGCCTAGTATGTACAAGGTCCTGGATTGATCCCTAAACTCCCTCCCCGCCCCCCCCACCCCCGCAAAAAAAAAAAAAAAAACCCAAAAAGTAATAGCAACCCAAAAAACCCTTCATTTTTAGGGGAAGTTTGAAAACCAGGAATTATTCCACAATAAGATATCACTTTTAAACCATAACCCATCTTATCTCACACTTTAAAAAAAAAAAAAAAGAAAGAAAGAAAACCCTCCCTAAAAATGTTTGCACACACCACCAAAAGTTGTTTTGCTAGCTTAGTGAGACACTGTCTTAAAAAAATAAAAAGAGCTAGGAATGTAGCTCAGTGGTAGAGTGCCCCTGGGTTCAAGCCCAGTACCACCCCCCACAAAAAAAGTTATTTTCTTGAAAAAAAAATGAACTTTGAAATCATTTTTTAAAATCATTATTGCCAGGAAGAACTCCAGTAAAAAAAACTAGAAGTCTTTACATTATCAGGAAACTATTTTGTAAAAGATTTTTTCACAGTTACATGTGCCATTGGAGACCAAAGCTTTTTCTGTTGAGAGTTATTAATAATATTCTTGTGTGACAATCCCCCAGTATTAAGTTCCAGTTTAACTCCTAAAGTTCTCCATATCCGCAAACCCTGGACAAATGCAATGGAACTTGAAAACGTCACTAAAGAAAGTATTACTAACATATGATTAATTTTGCACCCAGGACTCAGGTTGTTTCTCAGTATTTGGTAAATAGATCTATTTGTCTATGTGTGTTATAGACAAGACTTCAAATACCGAAGTATCTTTCTGTCGAGGTTTTATTTAAAACTGCCTACTTTTTAGTTGTTTCCTAGCTGTAAATAAAATGTTATCAACCCCCAGACCTCCGGCACTGCGCCCTTCCACTCAGCCTGGAAAGGCTGCCACACGCAGAGCAGCTCTCCAGCCAGTGACACCCAGCCCGGCCCACGCAGCAAGCCTGCGTCTTGTTAAATATTCATTTTTCTTAATGAGAAAGAGCTCCAGACAGACCTGCCATCTGTGCATGACTTCAACACAAATCAGGTTATCAAACTTTGGTTTTGTTAAATCTCTTTTAAGGCAAGATGCTTAACTAATTATGTCAGGTTCGACTGACAGAAACAAGGTTTGACTGCCCCGCCGCACAATGATGGAGAGAGAGTCATTGTCTTTAACAGCTTCGATAACATCGGCCGTGCTGGAAACGGGCTGCCCGTTGATGCTGACGATCACATCGCGGTCTCTCAACCCGGAGCTGAGAAGGAAGAAAAAATGAAACGCCATGAAGTTCAAAGCAGCGTTTTGCTTATCCCATCTAGAATGTGACACCTCCTTCTTATGGCAATACAAACATAATAAACCAGAAATAACCTTAATCCAAATATCATGGCTGTTCTAAGATATGCTACCAAATCACCCGGAGGACAACAATCCTATTTATCTTTATAAAGTTAATCCTTTGAGATTGTTATAAGAAGTGTATGCCACCCATATTTGGGGTTTGGTTTGGAATGAATAGCGTAGCTTTCAACATCTATGCATCTCTGATCTCTCTCTGCCCCAGGCACATTCCCAGTCTCACCAGCAAAAGTGCAAAGCCTAAGGAGTGCATTTTCTCCCTACAGCTGTTCTCTGATTAGTTTGATTTGGGCATCCCACAGTTTAAAGAACAGAACGATATGTTAAGCTGCATTATAGAAATGCTGCTTCCAATAAATAAAAACCTACTCTCAGTGTTTCAAGTCTAAATATTTGAACCTCTGATTTTAGGCTTCTTTTTCAAAAAATTGTGATTCTGTTTGTGTCCAACATATTCCTTCACACAGAGTATATATTCTAGAAACAAAGGCAATTCCAAATAAGAAACTGCAATAAACACGTAGCCAGGCTGATGGTTTGTCTTCAAGATGAAAATATGCTTGAAGAAAGTCATCAGATTAAAGGACGCAAGAAGAAACTGTTTAAGGGACGTGGAAAGCGCACACACACACATACAAATGATAATGTGGTGGGATTACCCATGTAGAGTTTAAAAAGGAAACAGGAGGAGTGTATACTCACCATGCACAAGGCTCTGGGTTCAATCCTCAGTACCAAAACAAAGGGAAAAAAATAGGAACTTTAAACAAGTAGATGTGAAGAGAAGCAAGTATAGAGCTGCATTCAGGAAAGGCCTTGGGAACAAGGACAGCTCAGTAGTGTGATTAGAACTGTCTGCACAAAGAATATAATTCACAGCAGCTCTGTGCTTAGGAAAACAACAAAAGAAACCTACACATTTTTAGTTCGAACCTGCTACACACCAAATATGAGAAAACAGACTCAAGTGAAATAAATGACCTTCTCTGGGTCACACAACTTGTCAGAGGTGAAGTGGAATATACCCTGGCTTTTAAGACTTGCAAACTCATCTCCTTGCCACTAAGTCATGATGCCACTCAGGAGCAAGAAAAGCAGAACAGAGGGATTAAGCCAGGGTCCACGTCTCTCTGACTCACAGTATAACTTTCTAAGTTAAATGTTCTGCATCACAGCTGCTCCCCACAAAAAATTACCCCTACATCATAAGACTTTGGGGGCTTAAATAAATAGATAAAATACTTTATTATTTCTACCCTTTTTTCTGTTTTGTTTTTCTCTAAATAAATTTTTTAAAAAACACTTTAGCTGGGCATGGTGGCACATGCTTGTAATCCTAGCAGTAGAGAGACAGGATGGGGAGGATCACTGTGAGTTCAAGGACAACCTAGGCTACAGAGTGAGTTCAGGGCCACCTCTTGTCATAAGCACAGATTCTGGCTGAGGGTGTAGCTCCGCAGGAGGATGCTTGCTTAGCATGTTCAGGGCCCTGCATTTGCTCCTCAGCACCACAAAGGAAGGGGATGCAGATTCTGATTCAGTGGACAGAAGGTGGGGACTTTGATTTTGCTTTCTTATCAACCCCTGCTGATGCTAATGGCCTGATTACACACCAACAACTCAACTAAAAGCAGTCATTTTGGCCTTTGACCAGAAGTTTAAAAATAAGGAGTGGGGGAGGGGGTAGAAATCAGGGCTGGAATCTGGAAAGTCTGGGAAAGCCCAGGACAAGCCAACTGCAGTAATGTGAGAGCTAACACTTAGCCATGCTGAACAGTCAGTACCTATGCTTGCTTTCTACCTACGAAAGAGGTGTAGTTGTCTACAACAGATGAGATCTTGAAAAACAAACAGTGAGGGAAAAATAATGAAGAAGTAGGAGATCAAGAAGAATAATATATATAGGACAAGCCACCTCTTCCCTGATATTAAATGTTCTAAACAGTAAAGTCAACTAGAGAAGCTTTTAGGGCTGCTTTTTGATTTTATGACACTGTCATCTAGAGCTCAGTGTTTTAGGCCTACAATACACACAAACAGTGTTAGGCAGATACTTAGACATTAGCAGCCCTGAGGGAAAATATGGAACCAAATAGTAGGATGTGCCAGTTAGTTAAATGAAGAAACAATGACCTCAGTGTATGATACAGCTATAATAATTTCTTAAATCTCAGACCTGAGACATACAACCTCTGTTTGTAGAACAACACATTCAGCATACTTGACTACTATAACCATACCACAATGACCCCAGAAAGGCAAACATTCTTTAAAGACACCCCCACTTTGGACAGAGATCTGATTTAGATGTTTAAGTTTCTTACATGATTATAGCTTCTGAGAGAACCCTGACCATCTGAAAATAACAAGGAAGACATTTCTCAGGTATCGACATTCCGAAGAACCTCCAGGAAAACGTGAGCATACTAACCACCCTCATTCCCTAAAGGCCAGGAGGAGAGCTGAGAGAGTGTAAAAAGACCTCCACACTCACACGGGCACAGATACCTGCGTGGTGCTGCCCACCTCACCTGAAGGTGAATTCTCTGTACCTCTACTCTGCAATAAACTCTCCTAGACTTCTGCACATACACCTATTTGTCTGTACTGAATTCTTTCATCAAAGTCACAATGACGCACCAACCAGGAAGTGACAGCCCACCTGCCTATTAACGCTACATACTCTAGATTCTTCCCATTCTTATTAACTACTAATTATTTAACTGTAAACTATTTAATTATTTACTATTAGTTAACATCTACCCCTCATTAATACTTAATGATTAACTACTTAGTAGTGTAAGAGTTAATACTTACTAAGCAATAATTAATCTAAAAGGGTAGTGTTATGGTTAGATCTAAAATGCCCCCAGAATTCTCCTGTGACCCAGTCCTGGGATGTCATCCACTGAAGGGTCAAAGCTGAATGTGCTGTTAGGAAGAGGAGGCTGCAGGAGGAGACCCTGAGGACAGACTGCAGCAGGGCGAGTCTTCCTTCCAAGCTCCTCCCTTGTCCCTGCTTCCTTGAATTGAGCTCCTGTTCCCCCGCCAGGCCCCTCTGTCATCCGGTTTTTCTCGCTTACTATGGAATGAAACTATGAACCAAAATAAACCTTTCCTCTTTGATACTGCAGCTATTGGGTTTTGTGTCTCAGCAACATGATGGTGACGAAGACAGATAGGTAGATTTGGGGCTAGAAATGCGACTCAGCAGTAGCACACTTGCCTAGCATGCATGAGACCCTGGATTCAAACCTTACTGCTACAAAAAATTTGGTAATTCTAGCAAAATTAATTGCTTCTACTACTGACATATCAGCATTGCCCCTTAGAAACATGGCAGATATGTCATTGTAAATTTTCTGATAGCCACCTTTTTAAAAAATTTAAATGTATGAAGTTTGATAATGTATTTTATTTAACTGACTGTCATTATCATTTTGACACGTAAGAAACATTCTTAAATTTTTCCATGGATATTGCACACTGTTTTGTATAAGTCTTTGAAATCTGCTTGAAAAAACTCATGCCCAATAGGGACATTATATAATCATGGTATTTTACACAATGCAAGGATGAAGGTGAACAGTCTTTCTAAAACAAAAAGGGAAATGGGAAATTATTATATACTGATTATGGACTTTTTCCATTCAATCAATTAAAATTAAATTTTAAACTGAGGTCCTGAATGTTTTGGTTTCTATCTAGATGTGTCCTGAGCCTCATGCATTATAGGCAAGGCTTTTGATGGGTGATTAGCCTGTGGGGGGTATGGATAAATGTGGTACTAGGAAGCAGGACTTCACTGGAAGAGGTGGGTCACTGGCACGTGACATGGAAGGGCATCTCTCTCTCCCCATCTTCTCTCTCCTCCTTCTCATCTTCCTGGCTGCCATGACATGAGCAGCTATCTCTCGCCAGACCCAACCACCACCGTGCCACTTCTGCTGTGGAGTCAGACAGTCAGGACCATGACTATGAGCTAAAACAAACCTGTCCTCCTTTAGGTGATGGTGTCAAATATAGTATACCAGGGACAAGAAAGTGACTAAGACATGGAGTCACTCTGGCCATATCTCAGGTGTTCAACACACATGATGTGTAGGCAGCAGCCAAGGAAATGGACCGAGCAAGTCCAAAACTCCATGCATTCACCATTGCACACATCCCGAAAGAGCTCGGAATTCTAGAAAAACCTGCACTGACCTCTCTGCAGCTGTTCCTTGAATCACTTCATATACGAAAACCCCAGAGCTCACATCAGGGAAATCTGGATCTTGCCTTTTCATTTCTTGAAGAAGGCTAGGAGAAGCAAGAAGGTTAGCACATGAAGTCATCTCCTGAAGCCTAGTAAGAGCCTAGAACTCTTACTAGGTCCCCTGTCTGTCCTGCGCAAGGCTCACGGGAGCCCAGGACACCCTCTATATTAAAGCCTAAGACCACTGGACATGATCCAGTGTATCTCCAGCAAGACACTCTTAGCAGTGAATGCTGGTATAGGCATGGTCAGACACACGTCCTGTGACAAACAGAGCCCATGGTTACCGCAGTCAGTCTAGTGCATTAACTTTTCTATCCAAATCATCCAGCTTTGACTTGCCTCAGAGAAACAAGCCAGTCAGAGCCAAAGTCACGCTTACTTCAGAGTGAGAGGCAGCATTCGCAGACCCAGATATTTCTTCTGCAAACGAGTCTTGCCTGGAAAGGAAAATTACAATAATGTGTAACTAACAACAAAACTTGTTTCCTTCCTTGAAGCACAGCTTAAAACACACCCAAGTCCCTGAGTATCTTCGTAACTGGAGCTGCCCTTGCATGCTCTCTGCCATGAACTGCATGCTTCCTAGAACCCCTGACATCAGCACAAACACACCTCCGGCCTCCAGTCTGTCCATGGACTTCCGGGTACCCCTCATTCCTGCTTTGGAGCCTAGTCCCCACATGGCCACCCAAATAACCATGATAGAATCTGAGAACCAACAATCCAGTCCTGTAGAGAATTCAAACCACCATCTCAGCAAAAGAAGGAGAGCTTCTGAGCAACACAGGAAGGAACCAAACCCTTCACCTCTCAACTGGCGCTCATGGTATTCTGCCAAGAACTGACTGATTCGATCTGAGGGAATCGCAAAGGAGATCCCCGCGGCCACCTTCAGTGTATTTATGCCGATCACATCGCCGTCCTGGTGAGGGAGGGAAGAAACACAACTCAGTCATGAAGCTTTGCAGACTGAACAGTGCGATGCAGAACAAGGAGAGGACGGAGTGGGGCTCCTCACTTAGGGCTGCAAAACAAGGGCAAGAGGAAATGTGGTCTCCTCACTAGAGAGCACAGAGGTCACTTTATTGGGTGATCGGTGTGCTGGGGTACGGAGGAAACAGGGAAATGCACAGATGCAAAGTTATCCTTTCTCCAGGGCCGAGCCGCTGAGGTATTTTTATTGATCTTGAACTCATTTTTTCATCCAGTAAATTATACTGATTTTAAAAGTGAGCCACAGTTTATGTTAAATAAGAGGACAAGGAAAATGTGCCTTTTTATTGCTTAAATAAAACACAGGAAAGACAAAAAGCTGTTGGATGTTCAGGAACAACTCAATGCAAGTGTTCAAAACTGTTAGCAAAACTGACCTCAGGGAAGAAAGGTCTGCCGAGCTAAAGCTGTGAGGCAGAAAATACTTTTCTTCTCATGCCCTTCATCATCCTTTAGCTTTATTAGGTAACAGCAAGGATAGGAAGGAGATTCTCATCATATTAACATGTAGATTCTAATGTAATAAAATCTGCATTTTATCCCTACTCTTGGTGAGCTTGCTATCTAACTGAGAAGGTAGGCAGTGTTACCAGTAAATTCACGCCATAATTTCACATAGAGTTAATCCTCTTAAAAGCAAATGTAGCCAGGTGTCAGGGCATATGTCTATAATCTCAGCTACACAAGAGGCTAACGCAAGGGGATTGAAACTTTGAAACCAGCCTGGGGAATTTAACACCATCTTGTTTCAAAGTAAAATAAAAAGGGCTAGAGATGTCGTTCCGTGGTAGAGTGCTCGCCTGGCAACCACAAGGCCCTGTGCTCGAGCTCCAGTATTGCAAATAATGATGACGATGATGATGATGACGACTACGACAGTGAGACGACAAAAATGTAATATTTACAGAAGAAACAAAACCAGTCAGTTCCAAAGCTCAGAGAAAGCAGGAGTCAAACAGCATTACACTTGCTTAGGGTTTCACATATATTTAAACAACCAGAAACCCTGGCATTTCCACTACAGATGCTGCTTAAAATAGAATAATAAACCACATATTGGGGCTGGGGATTTAGCTCAGCGGCATAAGCACCTGCCTTGAAAGCAGGCAGTCGTGAGTTCGATCCCTGGTACCGATAAAAACGAAAAAAAAGCCAAAAAAAAAATAAATAAAGCACATATTATGCACCAACTCCCACAATGAATGTAATCATGCCCTGCAAGCGTGAACTAATAAAATCAGTAGTTATTTTTAAAATTTTAAAAATTGAAAAATACATGACTGAACAATGCAATTGAGTTGTGACTTTCTGTCACCTACAAGCAAGTCAAGACTGAAAACATACACACTGTTCATTCTTATTACAGGAAGAAAGCCTCTTCATATGCAGCAGCAGGGAGACCTTCAGAGATATACATTACATAGGACAGTTGGTTATTTGGCATAAATCTGGGCTTAATATCCAGGCTTTTGGTAACTCCTCAATCCAAACAAAAGCCATGCTGAAGAGGGAAACTGAAGAAAGCCAGTGTCAGAACCCTGCTGCTGTCAGATGAGATCACACACCAGGATGATAAATGCATCATCCTGATGATAAATTCATCAAATTGACTCTTTCCCTAACCATTTACTTAAGATCCCAGAATGGGAAAGTTTTATTCCACCACTCTCTATACAAGGAGGGCATCCAACTTTGTGTTATAGAATTTGGGAAATCTTTGAAAGTTAGGAAGGAACCTGAAGAAGCAAGGAAAATAAATAGCTACTTACCAAGTTCACCAGGGGCCCCCCAGAATTCCCGTGCTAAAGACACAAGTTGAAGAAGCCATCAGTAAAGCCAATGAATACGTTTCCCCCCGTCATTTATACAGTTTCCACTGAGCTTTCTTCCCAGGATCAGCTGGTTCTAAGTGAGTTCTTTCCCCAAGGCAGGCAAATGCTGCCACCTATCACCCCAGTACTGAAGTCAGTATTGATGAAGACCAACCACAAGAGGGCCTCACACTCGCTCTATAGCAGTGCTGACCTCTATGATAAACCCGAGGGACCCTCCAAAAGTGGGCACAGCAATTATCACAACAAACCTGCTCAGCTCTAATAACGTGGCACTCTGTTCTTCTCGAGGGATCTAACTGCCCTGCATACCTCCCAAAAGCCAAAAGAAAGTTTCCTTTTCCCTGAGCACTACCAGTGCCTTCTGGCTGCGGTCAGCGTCCTCCACGACTTACATTGATGATAGCATCAGTCTGGATGTAGTCTATGTCTGAATCCTTCAGCCCCAGCTCCTTGCCTCCTCGCTGTGTGGTGCTGACGATCCCTGCAGTCACCGTGTTCTGCAGAGAAAACGGGCTGCCCAAGGCCACCACAAACTCTCCAGCTCGGAGGTCTGATGATCTTCCCAGCAACAAAACAGGAAGGTCGGTCTATAGGCAGGTCCAGAAGAGCAAGGAGGACAGGAGAAAGAAAAAAAACCCAGCTGAGCGAATATTTGTATGTAGCAAATGTGTGGCACTATTTCCTATCATTCTGCACTTCTCAAAGAAGTACCCCTCCCAGGCCAGGGAGAGAGCTCAGTGGCACAGCACCTGCCTGGCAAGCACGAGGTCATGAGTTCAATCCCCTGCACCAAAAAGAGAAAAAAAAGGGGAGTGGGGAGAGGAGGAAGAGGAGGAACCCACTCCACACTGGATCTACAGCTGCTTCTTCCTCAAAGTCCAACTGCTACCAAGCTCTCACTTGTTACAATGATTAAGAGTCTCTCAAGATGGAAAATTGTTACTTCATAGAAATTACTATTAGCAAACCACCAGTGAAGTAACCAATGAACACAAATTGACATTAGTGATTCACTTCATACCATAATAGCTCAACAGATGACAGTCAAAGTGAAGAAGCCACAAATAGGAAGGAGATCAGCCCGAGCAGCACTTTTCAAACTAGCACACAAAACACTGAGACACTGGGATCTCATCAAGATGCAGATGTGAGTCAGCAGAGTGGAGACTGAGGTTCTACAGTTCTAAAAAGCTTTCAAACCAGCCGGGCATGGTGGTGCACTCCTGCAATCCCAGTATTCAGGAGGCTGAGGCAAGAGGATCATTGCAAGTTTGAGACCAGCCTGGGCTACAAAGTGAGCCCAAGGCCAACCTGAACTGTATAAACTAATAAGAAAAAAGAAGAAAAGAAAAGCTCTCAGACCACATATGCCTCCTGCTCGTGTGCAGACCACATCTGGTGTCACAAGGATCTCAAAGTGTTCCTTAGCAGCTCAGATCCCACTGTGGTAATTTCTGCTCTCTTATGCAGAGAAACAATTTTTTTCCCACAAGAGGCATCTGCTGAAGGATAGAAGAGCAAGGAAGGGAGAGGAAAAAAGAGGGGGAGAAGGAAAAGAGACTGCTGTGAAGTTAATAGAAATGGTCAGGGATCTACAAACAGGCATGAAAGAAAACAAAAGAGACACTAGAACAGACAGAAAGGCCCTAGAACAAAGCATATGCGAGACAGAAAAGCTCTGCTGTGGTCATGAGTGAGCAGCACAGGTGAAAATCCTCGAATATGCAGAGTCCAGTTAAGCCCTAAGAGACTCACATTTGGCTCAATCTTAATCAATGCAAGATCCAGTTTATGGTCAATGTCCTTGACAGTGGCTTCATACTGGACCCCGCTCTGCAGCTCCACTTGGATTCGCTGCTGGTTAGTGAGGACGTGAGCGCTGGTAACAATGAGCCCGTCCTCAGACACGATGAACCCAGAGCCGCTGGATGCAGCCTCGTCCTTACTGCTGAGGTGTGACCTGTCTCCATGAGACACGGTGTAAACAGAAGGCAGGAACATTAGAGGGGCTTCCGTCCAGGGCTTTCACTACTGTGAATCACCAGGCCATCACATGGACTGCAGTAGCCCCATTAACTTTATCAGCCGTCTACAGTGCTTTTCCCTGCCTGTATTTCCACCCTCTCCGCATATAAATGAACTGCACACCCTATGCCCTGGCCATCTCTGCTACACAGAGGCAAACCATAATCCCAATGTTTTAGCAGAAAGTGGGCCTAGTGCCACCCTATGGAGGATCCAGGGAGGGAGGCAAAGGGTCTGATCTTGATCCAGTTCCCACGACCAACCAGCCCTCTGACGCAGGGAAATCAATCCTAGGCTTTGGGTATGGGTCTCCTTGCGTGCAGGAGCTAGGCAGGATTTCCAAGAGGCGCTAGGCAGGATCCCCAAGAAGTCTGCCAGCTCTGATATCCGGCCTTTAATTTTGTCTGTGAAAAATGAAAAAGAACACTCCCAGCCACCAAAGTGCACAGGAGCGACTCAGATTTGGAAGCCAGAGCCCTCTGTGCCCCTGCTCTTTAATGCACCTTGCACAGGGGACACACACGCGCACGCACGCACAATTATGCACACACACACACACACACACACACACACACACACACACACACACCCCGACGCACGCACGCACACACCGACGCACGCACGCACACACCGACGCACGCACGCATGCAGTACTGCCACTGTTCTGATGTACACTGAGCCACATCCCTGCAACCCCTTTGAGCCCCGGGTCTCTTCACAGAGGTCTTTGTGGATTTTAGGATTCAACTGTGCTTGCGAAGCGCCTGAAGCATACTGGTGAGGCCCGCCTCAGCAGCCTCCAGCTGGGCTTGTCCTCCTCCTGTGCTTTACCTGCGAAACAGCTGCAAGTGAACCACAGCCGGCGCTACCTTCTCAACCACGGCAGCGATGAAGTCATACTTGCTCCGCAGCCAGCCTGTGCTTCTGGTCCCTGGGAAGAAACCTGGGGCTTGGCTCTGACCACATCAGGTGTCTGGCTCGGACCTCTCAGGCCTCGCTCCCCTGTGCTCTCCCTCTCCTGCCCCCCCCCCTCCAGGCTCCCCTATTCTTTGAGAGAATCTGGTTTCAACTGTCAGCCCAGTTGAAAACGATGAAAAAAACAGCGTTCAAAAGATGAATGGGATGGGGATGGGGCGAGGAGAGTGGGCCGGAAGCGCCAATAAACATTGGATGCGCGGTTCCTAAGGTGCATATGATTATTACGCATCACACACGTTCACCAATAAACATAAAGCAAATGCACGCGGGAAGTATGCGGCCCATAATAAAGTGTATCAAGTGTACAAATAAGTAATAAAAGAGGAATGGGGCGAAATTGCCAGTAAAGGACACTTCTAGGGAAGATAAAGTCAAGAAGAACACAACCACTGCAGAACTGACTCGGGTAGACGAAGCAGGGAGGCCGGCGAGCTGCTGGGGGCGCACGAAGCCAGTGACCCCTCGCTCACCTGGGGCCCCGCAGGCGCCCTTCTGCACGGGCACGGCCGGGAGCGCGCCCCGGGCGCGCGCGGCGCGGTTCTCTGCCCGCAGCGCGCACAGGCTTCGGTAGGTACGCCCGTCGCTTCCGCACACGGCCGCGCCCTCCGCCGGGCAGCCGCAGCTGGCACGGCCCGGCCCCGGCAGGCACTGCAGCCCCGCGGCACACGGCCGGCCCCGAGCTCCGCCGCAGGCCTCGCCCTCGGCCGCTGCGCACACGCGGCAGCAGCGGCAGCGGTCCAGCACCGGCGCGGCGCCCGCCGAGCAGGCCGGCAGCGGGGGGCAGCGCGTGGGCTCGCACGCTGCAGGGCAGAGCCCAGCGGGGGCCCAGGGTCCCCGGGTCCGGGCCCCGCACACGGGCGCGGCGGGCAGCAGCAGCCACAGCAAGAGGGCTCGTGCGAGCCCGGCGGGGCGCAGCCGTGGCGCCCTCATCCGCTCCTCCTCTCCTGCGGTTTTGGCTCCTTCCTCCAGCTCCCAGCTGGTCTGCAGCGAGCAGCAGGTCTTCCCGGCCGGGGCACCAGCTCCGGACTTTTAAGGGGCAGAGCCTGGCAGACCTCTCCATCCACATTCGCAGACCTCCCCCAACGCGTGTCCCGCCGGCCAGGCCACCCCTGCGGGGAAGGCCCCAGCCTTCTCGGGGCAGACTGACAGGGACCATCACCCGCCCAGGACCAGAAGGTCACATTAGGAAAACACACAGTCACATTTCAGTACTGGTTTTATTACAAAACAAGCCACAAAACAGTTTTAGAAAATTATTTCTGCTACACACCAATTAGCAGATCACAGAAAATGAGAAGCGTAAGTTTCCATGCACTCAGCTCGGGACTGAAAGCAGCTGAAACCTCCTGGTTCAAACCATTGCAAGCGACTGGAAAGGGCTCAAACTGCACGTTTTGGCTGAACATTCGCTTTATTCAGACTCTACCTAGCATGAGTGACAGGCCAGAGCAAAGACAGCAAACAGGTCTAAGGAGAAAAAAAGATGCTGGTAGAAAATAAGTCATAAACCTGCCCATTTCCGACATGTTCAAAGTTAACAAACAAAGCTAATATGGGAAACTTGATTTTCAAAACGCAGTTGACGCTGCCATATGCCTGTTTATCGGGTTGACACTGAAAACAAACCTATCAAATTCCACTGCTCAACTACTGACTCTGCTATTACACATCAGGTCATTTCGGTCCATGTCAAGAACATTTATAAGCCGGGCATGGTGGCTCATGCCTATAATCCCAGCACTCGGGAGGCTGAGGCAGGAGAATCGTTGTAAGTTCGAGACAAGCCTGGGCTACAAAGTGAGCCAGCCTGAACTGCATAGCAAGACCCTGTCTCAAAAAGACAAAAAAAAAAAAAAAAAAAAGGAACATTTATATTCAGAAAGGAAAACATTATTTTGCTCCCAGTAAACCAAGAAGCTGGACCTTTTTCTCACAGGAGCTCAGCATTCCTGTCACACACAGAGGTATAATTCTGCTATTGTGACCAGAGGCCACTGTCCAAGGTAAGTACCTCCTTATCCTCCATGTCTCACAGAAAGCAAAGGCAAACTATTTTCTCCAACCATCACTCGACCTTGAGAAGCAAGTTACCAGTTTTCAAGAACAGATAGATGGTAAGCAGTTCCCGGAGGAGAAGCCCACCTGGAATACTGTTGGACCAGGGCTTGTGATCACTCAGCAGCAATAAGGGAAAGGGCAACTCAGACACAGGCTTTCATTCCACAAAGAATGAAAGTTTGTTTTATTAAATTCAGATTTATTCTAGAACCTATGCATTTAACCACTTACCTATCCTGTATTCCCATCTTATTTTCTTATTTTTTTCCATTTGGTTCCATTTCAAACAATTAAAAGCAAATGTTTCAGTTATCTGTGCAGCATCTTTGGCTCACACTAAAAGACAGTGGTTTAAAATTGGTCAGAAGGTTAGGAAACACGGGCAGAGGGGCCAGGATACAGCTCAGTGGCACCACGCCTGCCCAGTAAGCGTGAGGTTGTGAGTTTGAATCCTGGTACGAACGAACGAACGAACGAACGAAAGAAAGAAAGAAAGAAAGATCATTTTTAGACCAGAACCATAGACCAAACTTAATCTACGTGAAGGCACTAAAAGCCCAAGTGACCCAGGCTTCAAGGGGACACAGGGCCCAGAAGAAACATGCTTTCCTGAAAACACTAATAAGCCCTTCATTGAGAGTTCACCTCTTTATCAGACGTGGACACAAGGAGCAGGATTTACTAAGGTACAAATGTTTCTCTTAGTCTCTTCCTCCGGTTGCTAATTTTTAATTTAAAATATAGTTAATTGATCTATGAAGTAAAAATGACAGCTAGTAATTAGCTAAATTCTCTATCACTGCAGGAAACCCTCGTAAGATTCTGATAGCAAGTCACTGCAGAAGCTGGGTAGACAGGTGCTCCTATGGGCCCTGGGAACTGTGCCTTGTGCCAAAGAAAAGACACACCCTAGAGTACAGGTAGAAAACTCAATCTCCGATGCTCTTCTGCTGGGAAACCTCTCAACAGCCAGTCAGAACCTTTAAAATCAATGTGTTTATACCCATTCTCTATTCCCCTAAAGAATATAAACATCACAAGATTAGCTTTGTATCTCCCCACTGTTAAGTACAAGATTTTACCATGCAAGCACGTATAGCTGCAACCAACGAACAACAAAAGGACAAAAAGCAGGTGAAGCTGCAGGGTATAGATGATACACAGCACTTAATATCAGACAGGTGGTTCATTTAAAAGACCAGAACTTTTTTCTTGACTGGAAAACATGGATTTAAAAAGCTTAGCAGGACAAACCATCACCCATCTCTTCTCAACATCTTCCTGTAAGTTATTCTAAAACTGAGATAGAGATCAAGCTATTACACGTGAATTTTCACACATTCACCAGATTTCCTCCACACATTTCACACAACACCATATTGAGGGAGACGTCTGTTCTGTTCTCAAAAGCCCTGGCACTTAACACTGGTAAGCCCACCCTTTGGGTAGGACACATCTACTGACTGGTGCCACCTATGTCTGCAGCACTGGGGGGTTACAGACCATCAAAAGGAGAACAGAGTAATTTCTAAAACCGGCTAATCCACTGGCATTGGATTATTCCCCATACCTCACACAGACCCCACCTCTTTCCTGGGAGTCTCCTGAGGGATCTGCCCTCCAGACCCTCAGGATTTGAACTGCCTCTTGGGGTGGACCCCAGTCCAGCTAGAGCCTGGGTCTACTCTACCCCAGCTCCTTTCAGTGGGGTCAGCTGCCACCCTCCTGCTTCACAAACTTCAGCCAATTAATAGAAATAGTATAAAACCAAGTGACTGGCCTAAAATCCCGTGCCTGGATTGAAATAAAAGGAAGAAACTAGAACAAAGACAAAGAAATAGAACTTGGCTAGGGAAATAACTGGACTCCATACTGCTTCCAGAAAGGAGATGTTAAATTGACCCCACCAGAAAGACCTTGGAATTTGACAAGAGGCAGCACAGTATCCACTGAGTATGCCCTACAGATCTAACCTAATGATTTTCCTAAATTAAATACACTGCATTGATAATATCAAAGAAGCCAGCTGCATGGACCCTCCCATAGGATACCCACAGGACAACAAGCACCACCAAGGCCTCTAACCTGCAGCAAGGCAGAGAACCCGAGTCCTGGCCTCTTTCTGTCCAGCCCTGCCTCCGCTGTCCCTCCCCTGCCATGCACTGTGCCTCGTCACAAAATGTCACACATCAGAGGTCCGTATGCTTTCATCGTCAAGGTCGAACAAAAATGGCTTCTCCTTGGGGTGCTGGGGCTCTGATCTGTGCCTCATCCGGGAGCTTGGCACCACCCCAGTGACGCTGCTTTCCGCAAGTCGAGGCAGGAACAGAGAGTCCTCTGTAGTCTCCTCTGCAGGCAGCAGCTTTTCCCCGGTCTGGGGGACAGGTGTCCAAGGTTGCCAGGAGCAGGCTGTCGAGGGGGCTTTGCAGAGGGCTTTTTTGTCTTCCACAGGTGGCCGTCCTCGGCACAAGACAGAGTTAGGCCCACCTGGGAGGCTGGAGCTTCCAGGTCGAGTCAAAGAAATGGATCTAGAAAAAGATACTTCCTAGAAACATAAAAAAGAAGAAAGATGAAGGAAAATAAAGGACAATGTTTTCTCAAAGCACCAGGAAGAGTACCCAGCCAGGATCACTACCTCACGGGTTCAGACAGCTGTCTATAAAAATCGAACACATTTAGCAGACCAGGCATGGTAGCATGTGCTACTCAGGAGCCTGAGGCAGAAGGGTCCCTGTGTGCCTGGGCAACGCAGCGAGACCCTGAGTCAGGGTCTACTTGGGGTGAGACTTGTAAGAGACATCAGGAATTCCATGTCTCTGCCCAATCCTGTCTCACCCCCTCTACCAACTAAAAAAACAAAAAGAAAATTTGTACCCAAACTAGCAGAAAGAGAAAAACAAACAAGTCAGCCTGTGGCTTCAGCTGCATGTCAAGCCTGGGCTGCCAGCCTACAGCACCAAATACAACATATCCGCTTAAGTAGAATTTATCTTTCCATCGACACTGCAGCACAGGAAGGAAGTGACTTACTCTGGAGTGGCACTTGAGGGCCTGGACAGCTGCCCCAATCTCCTTAATCCAGCTGTGCATGTCCTCTGGACTGTCCGCCTGCAAAACATCCACAGCGCTTACAGAGAGACATTTTTGGCAGTGTGATTTCAGCTTCCAAGTTTCTGACTCAATTTCAAGTTCATAAAATCACAACATTAGAATTGGACGGGATCTTGGAAATCATGTAGTCCAGAGACTTGCAGACTTTTGAGGGCATTTTTTCCTGAAGTATCTTATTTGACACTCAATAAACAAAACAGCTTTACGCTCCTCAGCTGGTCTGAGGGTGAGCAGGGGCTTAGTGCCTCATCCTGTTGATGCCCTTCGCCCCTTCCAGAAAACAGTGGAGCCAGTCTAACCTCCTGGTTTGACAAAAAAAAAAAAAAAAAAAAAAGAAAGAAAGAAAGAAAGAAAGAAAGAAACTGAGGTCCAAAAGGGCAAATCTCATGGTTTATGGATGGTCTGGATTCAAGTTCTCTCATTCTCAATGACATCCCCTCACTATGTCACTACTAAACAAATTAATCTCACTTTTAATTCCCTTAAAACCAAATTCCTCCTGAGTGGTGTGTGATCATATATTTTATCTCCAGAAATAGGACTTTTCTCAAAGCACAAGCTACTCGGTCTATCCTGAAAATCATTCAGTCCTCATTCAGAGCTGCAGGTCCTTTGAAAAACTAAGCTCAGCAAACACACAGAATGACGCTGCACAGTCAAAGTGCTTCCCCAGAAGAGGGCAGCAGCAGCTCTGTGACCAAGGCGGGAGGCCTGAGAGGCCTAGACGCCGCGCCAGTCCTGCTGGTTTACCAAGGGCCTTTCTCAGGGTTGAGCAGTACAGTAGATGTCAGCCACTGAGGGGGGACCCAGACTGAATCCCACACCTCCAGAGATTCCTGCCATTCATTTCCTCTGTCCCCTGGCACTGTCTGGGATCCAAAGGCAAGTATGCATTTGGATGCATGTGCAGGTGTGTGTACAAACAAAACCCATCCTCCTCCCACTGCCAGGCCCTCTTTTTACTTTTGAGATAGCATCTCACTAAGTTGCCAAGTTGCCCAGGCTGGGCTCAAACTTGCAATCCTCCTGCCTCAGCCCTTAAGAAGGCAAGCACAGGCTCAGCAAGGGGCTCCATACGTATTACAGTTGCCTTATTTACTATTTCTCTGTGATGCGAGGGGACCAAGTGCAGCCTAATAAATTCCATAAAGTTAGATTTGCTCCTTGTCTTCTTCTTGAGACCCTTTTCCTCCAACTGCACATAAATCCTGCCTCAAAGGATCAAGATGTCAGGATTCAGCGAATAACACACTTAAAGTGAGGAAAGAGTATTTTGGATTTGAATGGGATAGAGGGAACTGCTCATCAGGAGAAAAGCATTTATTAGGGACTTCGCTCCTGAGGAGACATAAGATGATCTGCTAGAAGGATGGCAGAAGGCAGAAGGCGCCAGGGGCTCAGTGGCAAAGCTCCTGTCTATTGTGGCACTGGGTGTAATCCTCAGCACTACAAGAAGAAAAGAAAGAGAAAAACAGAGGGGGAAGAGAGACAAGCACTCACAGAGAAAAAAAAAAATCTCCATTTCACACTAGATCTGACAGTTTCATTATGTAAACTGGAAAATCCTCAGGTAATCTGTGTCCAGGGATGTGTGGAATGTACTTCCCAAAACCCCAGTAACCACCCCACTATGTCAAATACAGGTCTGGGGGTGGGGCACAGTGGTAGGTCACATTCACTACAGGTTCGATTTCTAGCACCAAAAGCAAACAAAAAACCAAAACCACATGTATATGCATGTTTCCAACAAAAAAGCTGATACTACAATTGGTCTCATATGGAAAGCAGAATATTCTTGAATGAAAATCACAACACTTTCTGTTAGTAGCTTAACCATTGTTTTAAAGTATTAACATATTATTCAGCCAGGCATGCTGGTACACAGCTACAATGTCAGCACTCTGGAGGCTGAGGCAGGAGGATTGCATGTTCGAGCCCATTCTGGGCAACTTAACAACTTAGTGAGGCCCTGTGTCAGAATACAGAATAAAAGAAGTGCTGAGCCTATAGCTCAATGCATATGCAATGGTTTCAATCCTTAATGCTTCTAAAGAAAAAATACTATTCAGCCAGCTATGGTGGTACATATCTGAAGTTCCAGCTATTCAGCAGTCTGAGACAAGAGCTTCTCAAGTTTGAGACTGGCCTGGGCAACTTGGTGAAACCTTGTCTCAAAATAAAAAATGCTTAAAGACCCAGAGATGTAGTTTGGTGATAAATGCCCTGGTTCCAACCTCAGCAGTGAAAAAAGAAAAAAATTCAAATGGAAAAGCAGATATTGCAATTAATTCCATACAAGAAGGAAATGTATTATTTTACTGAGATCACAGTAACAAGCTCTATTAGCAGTTTTAAGAACTGATACCCAGTTTTGGAACAACGTAAATTCAGTGACATCCAAAAATTATATGCAAAAATTATGGTGTATGTTTCTTGTATGAAAAACCCATGTTTGGCTTTCATCAAAATCTAAAAAGATATCTTAAAACCACATCACAAGATAGTTTCACAAATCAGAGGTAAAAAACAGCTCAGCTCACCCACCCCATGATGAATTACTTAGAGACTGAAAAGTACTTAAAACTGGGTAGAACAGTAAGGGAAATGCCAAACTCATACCTTCTTCTCTTTTTGGTGCTGGGTTCAAAAGAAAGCAGGGTTTCTATCCTTGAGGGCAATTTTTGAGATGAGAGGGACAAGGATTCTAAAATGACTCACTCCGGTCTGTAGCTGCAGCACAGTCCTATGACCTTTCACTGAGTATCTACCCTAAACCCAGTTCTGTAACCCACGAGACGGCTGACAGCAGAGGCAGGGAGCTGCAATCAAAGTGGCCCAACATCTGTCCTTGCTTAATGCCCCTCCTCCTGCCCTAAACCCATAGGCAGCTCCTCTTTCCTCCCATTCCCAACAGCCAGCTGCGGCCAGCATTTCCCAGCAGCGGATCACCTGTGTCTGCTTCCCAAAACCAGCCGCAGCCTCAGACTCGGCCTGGCCACGCACTTCTGTGCAGACCGTGCAGGACACAGTCCTCAGGGCACCATTCACCCTGCAGTCTGAAAGTGTAACGATCTCAAGAGTGTGACCAGCGCTGCCGCTCACCTGTGAGTCTCCTTAGTGTCACTCTTGCTCTGACGACGATGGGTCTGACCCAAGGTACCAAGTTCACACTGTATTTCTCCTTATGATAAACTAATAATCCTCCTGTGGATAAGCTCCCTGACACCCCCAGATGCTCTGTGACTGGGAAAATGCTGGCTTGGATCTCCAGGCTCAAAATCTCACTTTGAACCCCCACACAGAACAGAGAACTGCCTCCTCTAACACCCACCTTCCTGCCCACTCCCATGCCTGATGACTGCCAGACTGAGGGCCCCTCGTCACCAAGATCATCTGCCGAGATTCCCAGGTACCCCAAGACCACCTTCCCTGGTAAGAGTCAGCCGTCCCCCACCCTGCCTGTGACCACAGCCTCCATCTCTTGGCTTCTGGCTCATGCTGCTCACAAATAACACTTCAGCAATTCTCACCGCAGCACCTGTGACCGCCTAGCCAGTTCCATAACCGCTGGATTCAGGGTCTCAGTCTCAGACGAAGCATTCACCTCAGAGCCCGCTTCCTCCTGCATCCGTTGGAAGTGACTTCAGAGACTGCCAGAAGTTAAGTAATATACTGCCTGCTAAGCTGCTCAGTGCTGGACCCGGGGCCTCTAAGTGTCTGACAGGACTCTGCTTCTGATTAAAAGTGAAGACTAGTACAATGTGAGAAATCACAGGATTGAAGTCTACACAATAAACTTGACAGGTCAGTTAAATGACCAATACCCAAGCAGTCAGAGTCCAGCCCAAGGAGCCCTCCTCCATCTACGGAGTTGTTTTCTGTGTCAAGGACTACTCTGGTACTGAGGTGAGAGAATTTTCTCTTGGGCAGGTGTAACTTAGGAAGCAGGTTAGAACTCCACTCTGGCATGCTGGGTAAAATCTCAGCCCCAAAGGGTGCAGTCCTTCTCCCTCAGCAGGAGACATGAGTGACTTGGGACAAATGACTGACCTAAGAAACTATCAATACGACTTCTTCAAGGGCAAATATTCGGCAGATTTTTTCCTTCTTCTTCAGCAGTGAGTGAATGAGGTGGTAATGTCAAGGGAAAATCAGGCTGGTATTTTTTGGCCAATGGTAAACTTTTAAAACCAAAATTAGAATTGCAGAAAATTTGTCTATATACCTCCATGAGCTCAACAACTTTCCATACTTAATGACACTGCTAATGAGTGATGATGACTTAATGAATGTGATGTGTTAAGTATTATGTAATAAAATGTGTCAACATTTGGAAGACTTGCATACCTCAGTAAGAACAGCGTTTTCCAAATGATTGATGCAGATGGTTATGAAACCACACATGGGTAAAGTATCCAAAGTGCAGAAGGGACCACTGGATTTAGCGCAAGAGTAGAAAGTTTACTGATATGGTTTCATGTTCTACATTTCACCTAAACATTAAGAAATTACTATTTGCCGAGTTTTGATACAGAATTGAAGAATATCCATAATTAACTATAAAAACATTAAAATATTTTTTTCAAATACATATTTGTCTGAGGTCATATTTTCATGTCCTTCAATCCAAACAACAGATGACCACAGAAACAACACAGAGGCAGACATGAAAACCCTGTTGTCTTCTATTATGCAGCAATCAGAGATTTACAGAAAACATTAAAAATACTACTCTTGCTATTTTATAGGAATATAGTGATTTTCCATAAAATGTAGCTTCCTGAGTTTACAGATGCTATTTGCATTGAGTTAATGCTTTTTTTTTTGGCGGTACTGGGGATCGAACTCATGACCTCATGCTTGCCAGCAGGCACTTACGCCACTGAAATGAGGTTCTTTTATATATATAGTTTTCCATCTGTATATTCCTCAATCCTTTTTAAAATCAATCTATAATCTCTTCTTTCTTCTCACTGACTTTAACTTAGGTGCTATCAACTGATCTGATCACATGTTTATTTATTCAGAGTGATGTTAGAGGTTTTTTATACCAGGAGGGAAAGGAGGATGGAGGTGAGGAGAGACTTCCAGAAAGTGTGCTTACACTCATGCAGGTAATGCAATGTCTTTTGCACATTTTTGGGGTTAATTGTCTGGCTTCCCAAATCACTGTATCTCCCACTGCACATCCTCTCCCAAGCTCTTAGCCAGCAGCTCACTACAGAATAGGCATTCACTCAGTCACTCATGCATCAAGCATCATCCAGCCAGTGGTCAGCTGGGCTTGTCCCTTTGGATGTCATTCCACAGGCACTGACAATTCAGGACTCCTCTTCGCTCTCAGCAGCCCCCTGCTCACAAGGCTCAGGCTAAACACCCCAGCTCAAGCTTTGTCTCACCTCTCTCTCTTCCCCCAGGTGATTCTCAAGTCCTGGAAAGGGATCCCCTTGGTAATTCCACATCTGTCCACGCAAGTTCAGCTCCCTTCATCCCTGGCCTGCACCTTACACCAGCCTGCCCAGCCACTTGGCCTTTGCTCCTTTGCCCTCCACATTGCCGGGGCCAGCAGTCAACAGCCAGAGCACCATGGAAGGCTGGGGTGGAGCTTCTCATCTCGAAGACAAGGATGGGAAAGTTAAATAACGCCCAAATCCACGTGCCGCCTTTGGCAGGAAGCCTGGCTAGCTGCTCCCCCACTGAATGCCGAGTCCGCTGGCTCTCGGATGGAGCCACAGCTCTCTGACACGGTGCACAGAGCTGCGGTCCCACAGTGCTGCCTGGCACCCTCGTCTCCAGGCCTGGTCATGCCTGCTCTCTATTGCCCGGACCACTGTCCTGACTCTGCTGAGATGCGCCCTGGCAGGGAACATTCCTCCTCCTAAGAAGTCCTCTCTGTAATATCAGCTACACTGATTGCACAGTTTCATGGGGATTTTGTGAGGTTTTTTCCAGTACCGGGGACTGAATCCACAGCTTTCTCACAGAGCTACACTCACATCCCTTTTGTATGATTTTATTTTGACAGAAGGTCCCATACATAGGTCCCTGAGTTGCCAGGCTGGGCTCAAACTTGTGATTTTCCTGCCTCAGCCTCCCACAATACTGAATTATAGGCAGGCAACCCTGGGCCTAGCTTTGCTTTTGTTTTGTAATTCTCCACCACTTTGGGGGAGCTTGTTTTATACTTGCAATAAACTTGGATTCCATTCTGTTCTCAGATACAGATGTTAATCTGTCATCAATGCAGAATTTTATGTCCATATCAGAAATTAGAAAGTCACATTTTAGAGATGCTCATACTTCGAGGAAAATGTATGCCCCTGAATTTCTTTTTTGTGTGATAATAATTACAACCATCTTAGGGATGGGCACATGTAGCCATCACGCCTTAGTCATGTTTATTCCCATTTCCCACCCTGTTCTCCCCTCTCTCCATCTCCATGAAGGGTCCCACTCTTGCATCAGTCTGTCATATGCTGCATTTCACCCGAGGGTGCCCTGACTGCCTACATGTGCTTCAGTCTGCACATGGCAACGTTTACTCTTTGTCCAGCAGAGCTCAAGGCCACGCCCTCACTGAACAGCAGTTGCAACACCTTGCAACTGGGCCTCACTGACCTGGCACTTCTGACTGCACCCTAAGGAGTGGTTTGGACTTGCTGGTTGGCCCGAGTCTACGGGGCTCAGGATTGCTTCTGTTTAGCCTGCATCCCCACACTCTGAGATACTCTACAAATATCTATCCACTGCAACAACAGCAACTCTTTGTTGCATCTCTAGGTTCCACCTTGACCCCAAGCAGCAGTGGTGCCCGTGAATAAGTAGCTTCCTGCCATGGTCCCGGCTGCCCTGCACCTGCCCTTGGCCATCTCTGACAAGAGCCACTGTGAGTTGGAATGAGCATGGCCTGCAGGTGCCCAAGCTGCCCAGCACACCTGCTGGGCTCAGGCAGAGGGTGGTGGAGAGGAGGAGCTGCTGCCCCAGAACGGGGAAGAAGGCTTAACTCCCTATGGAAGGCAGGGTTCCAGAGAGCAAGGAAGAGAGAGGGCTGGGAATCCCCAGAAGCTGCAGTTGGGAAGCCCCTACTCAAGCACTCTGCAGGAGTTTCGGTGCCAGAGACCCTGCATCCTCATGCTGCTGGGAAGCAATGCACTGCTAGGACTGCCAGCCAGGATGGGCTGCGGACTTGGCCCTAGGTGGCCACGCCCTGCCTGGAGTCCCTGGCTCCTCTGACTCACAGCGCTGGGTGTGATCCAGAGCTGTGGGTGGAGGGAGATAGTCCCGATAAGTGAACCTCAGAGCTCGCACAATGGCTTTCTCTGTGCAGCTGGCCCTGCACCTGGCACAGCACAGGGCCCTCTGTGCTTCTGTCCTTCCGCACACAGAGATGTCCACACACAGACGGACTTATAAATACCTCCCAAGCAGAAGTGAAATCGCTGACCAGTTCTCCTTTTCTCTGCTTAGCTGGAGCCCAGTGGCTGAGAGCAAACACATTCTCCAGTACAGTGGCTCAGCCTTGCTCTTTTATGCTTGGGAAGCTTTCGGCAAACATCCTGTTTAGAATAAAATGGGACTCACACTGACTCTTGGGGGCTACATTTACCATCTCACAACTTCAAGCAAAGGGAAAGATAAAGCAGGGGAAAGGGAGAAGCCTGTTAGGTCCACCATTCGCACAGAAAATGTTGTCGCAGGGTGAGCATTTTACCTGCACGTAGAAGGTCCTGGAGCTGGTTATTATTTCAAACAGGTTGTCCCTCATTAAGAGATCACTAGACAGAGAAAAAGGAAAACAGTTACTGGACATGCTGACGGGTATCCTGGGGAACTCAGTGGCACTAAGTGTAGGCACTGGTGTGGCCTCTACCATAAAAGAGGATGGGGGTGTCCAAGCCATTCTTCCTGCAGCCCATACCTAAAAACCCACAACACGTCCAGGCTTCTTCCAGCTCAGTCTACCACCCCCACCATCACCGGCCCACTTCTAACACAATAAAACTGCCTTCCCCTCTGGATCCTCCTGCCTGGTGTCCACTACTGCCCCTACAGTTTCCTTTCTCTCCTTCCTTCCTGCTTCTCGGGAGCAAAGATGTTTAGGGTGGGGTGTAATGCACTGGTTTGAATGCTTTTTTGAATATGCTTTCATCCAATCCCCACAACCACCTTGTAGGGTGCTGGAAAACTCTCTGCACTTATGGATGAGGAGACCCAGGCCAGGGGAGGTTAAATGACATGCATGTGTCCACGGTGCTGCAGATCTGAACACAGGGCTGTTCCAGGGTCTAAGCTTCATGTGATTCCAGCACCATCCGCCTCTCCAAAGGGTGCTAGCCCTCCCTTCCCGAAACCCATCTCCAAGCAGGTGACAACCCATCTACCTCCCTCAGGCCCTGCAGCTGGCCTCACTGTTCTGGGCTAGGAGACAAGGAGCTAAAGAGAGACAGGTTAGAAGAGGCTACTCTGAACTGAATGTGAGGTCTGGAAGAGAAATTCCAACTTCTATGAAGAGGAGGACAAGACAGATGTAGCCAGCATTCAGGGATGAACCTCAGACCGGCCAAAATGGTTTACAGTGCTAAATGCCTGCTGTGTATATCCAGTCACTGCAGGGAACATGTGGGGAACACATAAGGTCACTGCCACCCTAGAAAGAACCCAAGGAGGCGAGACTACAATCTCGTGCTGGGTCATGAGCGGTGCTGCAAGTCATTTCAAGAAAGGAACAATCACAAGCAGGGTCAGACTCATGAATAAAAACTTTGGAGGTAATGTCAGGGGTCCAGCCGGCGACCTGGGCACTGGACATAGGAAGAGAATGAGGCTAAAGACTGGGATCAGTCAGAGAGACAGAGTTGAAAGGAAGCTGTCCTCAGGAAAGAGGTGCCGGGTCATGTTTTAAAGATACTGTGGGCCTTTCTAAACTCAAGTATAAGTTTGGGATGTTCTTGTATTGGGATGTTCATCACAGAAATCAACTATCAGGTACTGTTGTGGTTTAAATCCAGATGTTCCCCAAAGCCTCATGTGCTCAGAGGTGGGGCTTTGGGAAGACGACTGGACCCTGGGAGTGTGGTACTCATCAGCGGGTCAGTACTCTGTGGGCTCAGAGCTGACCTTCCGAGAGCAAGTGTGGTTTGCTCAGAAGAAGTGGGCCACTGGGCGAGGCCTGGAAGGGATCATCTCTCCTTACTCCTTTCTCACTCTCTGCCTCCACCAGGGGTGCCATAGCAGCTTCTCCCCTGCCATGTGCCACCCTGCCTGGAGACACCGGACTACAGACTGAAACCTCTGCACACTGAGAGCCAAAATAATCTCCTCCTTTATCCTGAGGGTGTTGGGTATTGTGTCTCGGCAACAAGAAATTAACTCTGACAGGCACAAAGACTTTTGGTATGATATGTGTCACTAGAAACAGATCTCACCAACTTATTAATGCTGCTCAGAATACTTCTTTTTGGCTAGATGTTTTGATCTTTTAGACCATTCATGCGTATTACTCATGACCATGTGATCAACCACCAAGCAACTGAACAAAAAGCAGGTAGGAAATCCCCACCCCTTTCATCTCTACTTCCCAGGCTTCACGTCACCTCCCCATCAATTCAATTTAACTGAGCAAATGTTTGCTGATTACCCAGATGTCCTGAACCTCCCTGACAAGGGTCCAGGGAGGCCACACAGTCTAAAAGGCCTGGAAGCTGCGGAGTCTTAGGGATTGTTTCCCAGCTACTTTCAACTCACTGACATCTTTTATCCAGAGTTTAGTGTGACTCTGGAAGAATGCAAGACTTAGAGCAAGTTCAAAGTACTGTTAGGATTGAGCTCTACCACAACAGGTCAGGAGGTCTCATGTCTGCACTGAGGTTCTAGGCTAGGGACAATGAAGGATCTCCAAAGACCTGGTCAAGCCCAAATCCCCTCAGGGTCTATAAAGTTTAACTGCAGCATCATTGGAATTGGGGATTCACTATGACCTATTCCCCAGCCAAGTTCCATCGCACCATCCTATGCACCACAGTGGAAGGCAACCATTTCCTAGTGGAAAGAGGAACACATGAAAAATACTTCCCCTTCCTGCCCAGTGGTGATAGCACAGATAAGTTGCAACCACCCTGTGCTAATGAGACAGCAAGGTCAAAAGGGGGAGAGAAAAGGCAAAGAAGTTCATGCAAGAGGCAACAGAAGCAGTGAACTGGCAGGAAATGCTTAACCTATGACCGAGGCAGGGCACCTCCTCCTATGGACTAATTCTAACACCCGAGCTCCACCCTCTTCATTGCTTATTTAAAATAATGAAAACTGTCCTAAAAGCTCATCTGCTGAGGGGCAAGAGTAAGGTAACAGGAAGACGATAAGTCTGCTCGGTGTGACCTCACCCCTAAGTTGGGTTGGAGGCAGAGAGGCAGCCATGTGACACTTAAGTTCCTGTTCCCTTCTGGAGAATGTGTCAGTCATGAAAATGTAAGCAGACAAATGGAGATTCTGATGAGAAAAGAAAATGCAGAGATAATTACCCAGACTTGACCAGACACTCATGGGTCTTGAGAACATCCTTGAGAAATATGGTGCGCAGTGGTTCTCGGTCCTGGTGGGACAAATGGACAGGGAGTGAATGGGCTCAAATGACCCACAGACCAACCTGCTACCCACAGCCCCTCTTAACAGCGCTTGGTGAAGCCCAGGTTTGTAGAAGTCTACATGAGCACCTCTCCTTGAATGCAGAACAACTGCTTAGCATTACGTAAGTCGAGTCTTATTTCCATATTCTGGTATGTACAGAGCTGACTATGGTACTTTTTATTCTTCAATTGGCTCTAAGCAATGCAAATAAGGCCATCTGAAGTACTGATGTGTAATCTCTGGGGCCTTCCTGACCCTCTCCTGCTTCCTCACGTGGTGCCCTCTGTAAAAGATGTGGGCACAGCAAGATGGCAGAGCCAGGCAGCTCCAAGAATGTCAACTGGGTACGAGCCTCAGAATCAAGAAGCTATGAGCCTCCAGGGCACAGGAATTTACATATCAGAAACTGAAGCAGCAGCTTCCAAAAACAATTCAAATCCTGCCTTAATTAAATTATGCAGATTGACCCTTCTGTGTGTCATTCTCCCTGCATTTTGCAAAGATACTTTTCTCCCTACCTGGCTGACCAGCTCTGGCTTTCCTCACTGTCACTCATCCTTGAGCCACCCCCTTCTTCACAAGATAATAAATTCTGGGAGAGGCCTAGGATCAAGGCCTTGGGCTACAATCCTCACTTGGATGGATTTAGGACCCCTTGGCAGTCCTCAACTTTGAATATGTCTTGGTGTCTTTGTTCTCACTGTGGGTTGCACTGGAGGTGGTAGATTGGAATTAACTTGCTGGGATTCCAGTAATGTCTCAATGGGATTGTAAATATAAGGGCTGGGGATTTAGCTCAGTGGCACAAGCGCCTGACTGGCAAGTGCAAGGTCACAAGTTCGATCCCTGGTACCAAAAAAAAAAAGGATTGTAAATGTAACTTTCTGGATTGTGAGGAAGACTGAAAAAGGGATAACAATACTTGGATCACAATACTCAATACTTGGATTACAATACAGGTGGATAAGCAACTGAGCCTGAAAGTAATCATTAAGAGTGAAAAGTCCAAGAAGAAAATGCTCTGAGGCTCTGATCAGCCAGCTGCTCACCACAGACAGAGCACAGGAGTAGTGGAGGCACACGCAGACGGACAGAAGACAGTGCCGTCACCTTCGGTGTGGCCTGATGCGTACCCTGTATCTTCTACAACCCCTAGAAAGGCCCCAAGCTCAGCACTAACCTGCTCACACTTGAAGTAGCAGATGGTAAAGTCATCGAGTGCAAAGAAGCGACGTTTCCAGCTCTTGCGCTGACATGAAAAATTAAAGAGCTGAATGTTAGGGAGAGGTTCCCCCACCGCAGAGAAGGCTCCCACATAAAGCGCCCCGCCCCAGGCCCCGTGGAAGCCGGGCTCCCACATCCTGCAGACCCCAGGCTTCTGCCATGTGGGCCCCGTGACTGCTCTCCACATCTCATGGTTTACTCCGTGGCCAGCACGGAGGAAGTAGCTCCTCCTTTTGTGGTCTCCCCCATGCTGTGTCCACACCCACCGAAGTCACCAGAACCTGGCCAAGCCCACGTGGACACTCACCACATTCCCTTGCTTCACGCAGTAGCCACTCTTGATGAGGGGGGGCCCAGTGGAAGCACGGCAGCCTGACGTGGGGATGTAACTCTGAGACCTCCGCAGGATGGCGTGGGACCCTGGCTCACTCCCTTCCAGCCCATCGCCACCATTCTACAAGGAAACATCAGAATTAGCACCTGGGCCACCCCATCTCTATAGCCACATTCCCTCCCTGCCCTCTGGCCAGATCTCTGAAGATCTGCAAAGATCTGGTCCCAGCTACTCAGCAGGGTGAGGAGGGAAGATCACAGGTTCAAGGCCAGCCTGGGCAATTCATCAAGACCCTGTTTAAATAAAATTTTAAAAGGCTAGGAGTGTAGTTCAGTGGTAAGGTAACTGTCTAGCATGGGCGAGGCCCTGGGAAGGAAGGAAGGAAGGAAGGGGGAAAGGAGGAGAGGAAGAAGGGAAAGAAGGAGGAGGGAAAGAGGGAGAGAAAGCAAGAAAAGAAGGGAGACGACTGACTGCTCTTGAATGGAGTCACGAGGCAATGGGCACCAACAAGTTCCAGCTTGTACACTATCAACCAAACCGTGAACACCAGAACAAAATCTTCTCACCAAATTCCAAGTTTCAAAACAAGAGAGTACCCAGGTATAACTGCAAGACTCGAGGAAGCTGGGCAGACTCAGGTGAAAGAGAAAAACAGCAAACACAAGCCAGAAGGGAACCGGGAAGGGACAGGAGGCGGCCGCAGGCCTGTTCCCAGCCTCCTTTCTCACCTGGGCCTCGCTCCCCGAGTCCTCTCCTGGGCTGTCGCCAACGCCTACTGGCCACGTGGTTTCAACTGTGTTTCTCTGGGCGCTCATTCTTGTCCAGCCCCCCCCCAACTCCCTTCTACCTCTTTCTCGGTACAGACTGTGCACATCACCGCACACCACCGCACTCTGTACCCACCCTGTCCCCCACAGTCCAGCAAGGCCCCAGCACCTGACTGATGGGTGTGTGCACCACCACCCCTCCGATGATCTCTGTCTTGTAGGCCACCTGTGGCTTCTTCTCCAGGGCTGGGGTGGCTGTTATGCTCTTAAGAACTTCAGTAGTCAGGGGCAGGCCCCCAGCTTTGGGTACCTAGGAGGAATGGTAGTACAGTCAACCCAGAAGGTTTAGGGAAAGCAGGGACCCAAAGGCAGGATGGGGATGGGAAGAAGAGCTAATGTCCCACACTACAGTACAAATGCTCTCTCCTCCCCCGCCATTACGGATTACATCTAAACCCCCACCACCACTACCACCACAAGCATTGCATGTGGAGGTGGACCCCGGCCAGTGACAGGTTTTTCCTGGAAACCGCCTTCCTTTGGCGCTAGACAGCGCCCCTTGTGTTCTTCTCACAAACCCATAGTCAAACGGCCGCTTTTCGTACATGTGCACATTCTCCTTCAACCATCAGTCCAAACGTCGTTCCGTCACTCCGTCCACCCCTTTAGCTAAGCCCCCTATCAAATTCCAAATAAAGTCCACCGTTCTTTCCTGAAGCTTCCAGAGGGTGCCTGCTTTTGTTTAGCAACTCTCCTGTGGCCTCAGTAAAGACTTTTTCTCTTCTCTCTCACACCAACAGAAGACCTAACAGTCAGAAGGGGTAAGTCACTAGAGGCACGACTTCATGAATTGACAAGGTGTGCTCCTGTCCCAGCTCCCCTCCTCTTTCTGCTTCCTGGCTGTCATGCAGCGAACAGCTTTACTCTGGCATGCTGTTTTGCCATGCCATTTCTGCCTTGAATTCTGCCAACCAAGGACTGAATCCACTGGAACCATGAGCCAAAATAAACCTCTCTTCCTTTAAGTTGCAAGCATTGGGCATTTTGTCTGTGACAAGAATGTAGCTAATACACCAGCCCTCCCATCAATCCATATTTAAATATGAGGAACTCAGTCACCAATGCCTCTGCATGCACACACACATACACAGGCACACCACACACACCACACTGGATCCACAAATTTACTGAGTATCTATACTATGAACTAGCCTTTTCCTGATCAGAAGGCAAGATAAAACATCGAACAAAACAGACAAAAGTGCTGTCCTCAAGGCACTTATACACTAGCAGGTGAGACTGACACCCCTACCCTGGCCAACATACAGAGCAGTATAACCAACTCAAGAATCTACAAAAGGCGAGGCCTTCCACGGGAAAGTCAGTGGGAGCTGTGGCAGGTGCATCACGGGGTCTAGTATAAATGGGGAGGTCAGCAGGGGTCTCCAGAGGAGCAGACGGTGAAACGGCAGGAATGCAGAGATGAGAGAAAGACCCCTAGGCAAGGAGAACGGATAAAACTGCCATGGAGAGGCTGAGGGTGGAGCCCGAGCATGTGTGAGACCCTGGGTTCAACGGTTCCCAGCATGGGCAGGGGTGGGGGGAGCACGTGGTACCCGGCTGTGGGACAGGGCCGCAGGGAAAACACAGGCACACTAAAAATGTGGTGTAAAATTACCACTAGAGCATATACACGGGTGTAAATAAAAGACTAGTGAATTTCTGTTTACAGTCAGGGCCTGTCCTGAATAAGGTTTCTCATTATGTACAGTTACATGCAAATATTCCCAAACTCCATAAAACCTGAAATCAAAACACTTTGGTCCCAAGCATTTCAAATACGGAATACTCAGCTTGTACAAGGTCTTTCCACATCCAAAGATTTAAAATCAGCCTCACCTGAGCTACACAGATTAAAAATAAGGTTTTTTCTAAAGAAAGAAACTGAAGACATTAGAGACACAAAGAGCTCTCATGTTCATGGATAGGAGAATTCACACTGTTAAAATGGCCACATTATTAAAAGTAATCTACACATTTAACACAATCTCCATCAAAATTCGAATAACATTCTTCACAGAACTAGAAAAAAACAACACTAAAACTCATGGAAACAAAAAAGATGCAGAGTAACCAAGGTACTTGTGAGCAAGAACAGCAAGGTGGGAGGCACAACAATACCCACTTTCAGATTATACTATAAAGCCATAGTAACAAAACAGCATGACGCACAATAGAGGACACAGAAAGAAACATGCACAACTACAGCCATCTGACTCTTAACAAAAGAGCCAAAATCATGTTACAGAAAAACAGTCTCATTAACAAATGGTGCAGGAAAAATTGAATATCCATATGTAAAAGACTGAAACTACTTTCTCATCCTACCCAAAAATCAACTCAAAATGGATCAAAACCAGGTATAAGACCTTAAATTTTGAAACTGCTAGAAGAAAACATAAGGGAAACACGTAAAGTCATAGGCACAGAGCAAAGATTTCCTGAATAGGGCTCCAATAGCTCAGGAAATACCACAATGCAACAAATGGGACTATATCAAATTAAACAGTTTCTTCACTGCAAGAGAAATAACCAACAGAGAGAGAAAGCAGTTTATGTAAAGAAGAGCAATATAACCAGCTACTTATCCAACAGGGAGTTAATATCTAGAAAATATATAAGGAACTTAAAATCCTTAACATCAAAAACCAAAACCCCAAAAGACCACCAAGTAGCCCAATCAAAAAAGGGGGAAACGAACCTGACAGACACTTTCCCAACTAAGTACTAAAAAATGGCCAATAATTGCATGAAAAAAAAAGTCCATCAATTACAGTGATCAGCAAAACAGGGCAAACCAAGGCTGCACTGGGGTCCCATTTCAGCCTGCTCAGAAGGGCGACCGCATGAAGAATGCAAACACAGGCCAGAATGGGAGAAAAGTGAACCTTTGAGCTGTGAGTCAGAATGTACATTAGCACAGTCACTATGCAAATCAGTCTAGAGGCGCCTCGAAACACTAAGAATATAACTTGCATATGACCCAGCCATACCACTGTCAGCACAGAACCAAAGGACAGACACGGAAGGCCACGGGTGCCCGCACACGCACAGTTCCCAACAGCCAACACATGGAACCAGCCTGGGTTCACCCTCACAGACGAACGGATACAGAACACAGGGTACACATACACAAGGAGCACTATTCAGCTGTGAAGAAGAGTGCGATCATGTCGTTTGCAGAAAAATAGGTGGAACTAGACATCGTCGTATTGAGGCTGAACACTTGTAATCCAAGTCAGAAAGACAAGTATTGCATGTTTTCCTTAATATAGTGATGCCTGGGACCCATCATCAACTGGCTGCAGGATCCAGGCCAAGTAGCAAGAATGAATAGCCCTAAAGTGCCAGCACGCACACCAAGTACCAAACAAACAGTGAGTACAAAGTCCTCACGTCACAACGTGCTGAGCATCAATCAAATTCAGCCAGTCAAAGCACTCGAGTAGACTGAGGTAGGCTGTATGAGGAAGCAAAAGACAGCGACGTAAAAGCAGACGGGAACCTTTCAGACAAGAGGAAGGGAGGAAGGGAAAGAGGAGTGTTACAGCAAGGAACGGGGCTGGATTCAACGCATGAGGCTGAGGCAGGAAAGTCCCAAGCTCAGACCCAACTGGTAACTTAGCAAGGCTCTCTCTCAATACGGAAATCCAGTATTTTATAAAATTAATACACACTCATAAAAATACAGTTTTTAAAAAACAAAGAGCACTCTGTGGGCAGAAAAACTGGATGTGTCCTGACTCTGTGCCCTCAGGCAAGCACATTCATCTCTGGGTCTTTCTATCTCCCCGCTTAAGTGAACAGGGATAATAACTCTTCCCTTTTCTACATAAGGTTTTTACAGGGCTAAAATAAAGCCACACACGTAAAAGTCATGTGTGATCTAACATTTTACAGCTGTTTAAGATGTTCATAAACTATAAACTTCCCGGGAGTCAGGGGACCTGGATTAGAACCCCAGTTCGAGCAGTTGCTATCCTGCTATCCCCAGCAACGCTCTGAGGTCCATGTGCTTGCTAAAGAGGCTGCACAACACCCTGTCCTAAGAGCGACACGTCACGTGTGGCAGCTCATCACATGGCCTGCCCCTTCTTCACCTCTACACCTCCAACACACCTCGCTTTGTAAATGGAGTCTTACACATGCGCTTTATCATGTGGTGTCACAACCCCAGACCGTCAACCTCGTCCCAGCCTCTGCAGGGAAAGACACACTAAAGGACACTGCAGAAAGAGGGGGAAGGAGGCCTGGCAGTCCAGGGCTGTCACTCCAGGGGCCGAGGAGGCGGAGGCCTCCCAGGAGGCCCAGGACGAAGGTGAGAAGTTCAAGCTCAACTGGGAAGCCTAGCAATACCCTATCTCAAAAAGGGCTGGGCTTTGTGCAGCTCAGGGCAAAGGGCCCAAATTCAGCCTCCAGGGTCCAAAAGGGAAAAGGAGAAGGAAAGAAAGGAGGGAGGAGAAGGGAAGCATGGATGGAGAGAAGAGAAGAAGGGAGACGAGGAGAAGGAAGAAAGAGGGAGAGAGAGAGGGAGGGGGGAGGGAAGGAGGGAAACCTTTGTGGGACGCGCAAAGACCAGGAGAAAGCACTGCCTGCCCTGCTCCTGCTGTCGCACAGGCCCTGTGGCGGGAGGGGGTGAGGAGGGGTCCACAGACACCTTCAGCATCCGCGGAGGAGGGCTGTTCCCAGACACTCGGGGGCACCAACACCTGCAATTCCCTGTGTGTCACGCAGAGGAGGAGCTGCCCGGAACCGCACACACCTCCCACACACTCCGTGTCTTTCTGCGGCTTACTGTACCTGGTACAATGCAAGTGCCAGGCAAACAGCTGTTGTACTGTATTATTTATGGATGAAGGGCAAGAAAAATGTCTATGTTCCAGGGAGGCAATTGTTTCTAATGCTTTCAATCCACAGTGGGTTAAATCTGTGGATACGGAATCCGGGACACGGAAAGCAAGTAGGGAAGCAAAGAGATCCTGGAGACGAGGTGACTCACAACTCCTCTTCCAACCTCGGGGCTCAGCAGGTCCCCTCCCACGCCTACACCCTACAGCTGCTGCTCCGTGAAGCTGGAGAAGAGGCAGCAAAAGCCAGGCAGTGAGGCAGGATGGGAGGCAAGTGCTTGGGGTGCAGCTCCACAGCTGAGTTCAGTGCCTGGCACCAAACCAAAGGCTTTCATATAAACGGCCTGGGTGTGCTGCAGATGTACAGAGGCACGGCGCATGCTTAGCACGCACGCGGCCCCGGCCAGAAGCCCCGCACCAGAAAAACCACAACAGCAGAGAGGCAAGGAGGGAGGAGGGAGAACCCACTTGCTGTCACTTTGCAGGCCGTCCCGCCCGCCCAGGTTACTAGGAAAAAGAGGCTGAAACCCAGAAGGAAACTAGCTAGGTGTATGGTGCTCATCTCTAATTCCAGCTACATGGGAGGCCGAGGCAGGAGGATCACAAGTTTGAGGCCAGGCTGAGACTATGTCTCCAAATATGACTTTAAAAAGGCTAGGGTGCAGGTCCAGGGCAGACCACTTGCCCAGTATGCACATGGGCCTGGGTTCCATCCCAGTGCCCTACCCACATGCACAAAAAAGAGACAAATATTAGACACTGAAAGAAATCTCAAATCCTAGAAGATGCAAAAGGGTGAAGACCTCCCAACAAGAGAGAAGAAAACACTCACTGACTCAGCACTGCAGAGCCCTGCACACAGGTCAGCACCAGTGCGTGTGAGTCACAGGAGCCGCTCCCCTCCCCTTCCCCGCCCGGCTCACTCTCTCCTCCCAGGTTTGCCACGGTTTATCTGAATGAGACACTGACCTGCTAACCCGCTGACCTGACGACACTGCACTCTGGTCAGCTCCAGCAACACCGATGTTAGAGAGACGTAAGGATTTCAGCCAATCAGTTTACTCACAGCACTCTCACCCTGCCCTGGGACCCCGGCATGACCGCAAGCTAGCAAATGTAAGCATGTCTGACTGGGCAACAGACAACCTCAGACTTCCAGCAAAGCAGCCATGGTTTGTAAGTCAAGAGTCTACCTGACTTGCTAGTTAAAAAGCTTATTAGGTTTTCTCCCCTAAAAGTAGACCTCGTGCGATGGTTGGCAAGTGTCCCCCAAAGGCCACGTGCTACAGATCTGGCCACCAGCCTGTGGTGGTGCTGGGGCAGGACGGAACCTCTGGGAAGTGCGCTGCAGCGGGTGGAGATCAGGTCACAGGGGAGTGCCCTGGAAAGGAATGTCGGGTCCTTCCCCATCCCGTTGCTCTTTGCTTCCCAGCTGCCGTGAGGTAAATAGCTCTCCACCACTACGCCTGCCACAACATGTGCCTTGCCACAGGCCCAACACGACAGGCCAATCACCCACGGACTAGACCTCTGAAACCATAAACCCAAGTCAACCTTCCTCCTTAAAAGTTGATTATTCGGGTTTTTTCCTCCACAGTGATGGAAAGCTGACTGGGGTAACTTTCCCTTTCCTTCCTTTTCACTCTTCTCTTTTTCTGTATTTCTAAGGAAGAGGAAAACAATTTTTCATTAGCCAATCAAGGAAAATGTGAAAACTCAGGACAGTCCATGAACTAGTTCCACGAGGCTTTGAGACTGGGGATGGCCTGGCCTGGTCCTCCCTACTTTTAAAGTCAGGGGAACATTCCTCAGCCAGGAGAGCACTCTGACCTCCCTGCTTGGTGCTGCTGGCTCACTCTGCTCTCCCAGCCATCAGCATTCCCGATCACCCCAGCCACGACCACAGAAAGCCCCTCCCAGGAGGCTCAAGGGGGATGCCCCAGACACTTCCCCTTGAGCTGCATCAAACTCAAGCTCTTGGGTGACCTGTGGGTGATCAGCCAAAGAGAAGAGAGGCTGAAGGAACCAAGCCTGGACAGGGCGCTGGGAAAGGCCCCGCCACCATTCACACTTCCCCGCCCCAGGCAGGCCATTGTGGGAAGGGAAAGAAAGCACACACGTACAGTGATCTTGCTGGCATGGTTCAGGGCTTCAACCCAGTCCTTCAGGTCCTTCTGGTCATTGGCTTGAAGAAAATACCTCTGTGACAGGGCATTGATAACTGTAAAGACAAGAGGAGCGAGAAATCCTCATGTCAGAAAACATGCGACACAATGAGAGCCCACAGTGCTGCAGTGTCTGGGGCGGCAGACGGATGGGGGGCTCTGGAGCCCCCCTAGAATGCTGCCCTCTGCATGGCCATTTGAGAAGCAGCACATCACATGACTGCACATGCTTTCTCCCAGTGTTAAAACTAAGGTTTCTCTGCAGGCCTCAAGATTGGATTTGGTGTCTACCACCTCCCAGCAAAGCTAACAGATTTACAGTTGCGATGACACACAGGTCCTGGTGGACCCAGGGCTTTGATTTTCACTGGCCCATTCGTCTGGGTTACAAGCCTTGCTGGTGGCTGGGAAGTGGAACAGAGCTGGTCTGAGACCAAATCTATGATCCTGCCCTTGTCTGCAATGGGTCCTTTGCTCTGAGTATTCCATTCAGTCAACAGTTTACTTCTGGGCTTATTACAATTATGAGTATGTTTACATCTGCTGATCACAAAATCTGAGAATCAGTTTGAAGCTTAGCAGTATTTGAAAGAAATGGGAGAAGAGCACCAAAGAAGCCTGAACCAACCCAAGGCCAAGAAAGGAGAGCGCAAGGGGGTTCTACAAGCATGAGCCTGAAGTGTTGGACTTAAAAGAGAAGGGTAGACACCAAATCCATTAGTTCATTCATTTATTCAACAAACAGGTATTGAGCTGCAGGAAGTGCTGAAGGTGCTCCCCCAACACAGCAGAGGGGCAGCCTCACTCTCCTGACACAGAGACTACCAGGGCTGAGCACAGCTCCAAGGACCCAGTGAGCTCCAACGCCGACCCACTGCCAAATGCACCACATTTGCTAACCATCAGGTGAGCAGCTCCACTTCCTGTCACCCCCATCCAGCAACACTGAAGCACACTGCCAGCCATTCCTTCCGTTCCACGTCCCCTCCCTGACCCCACATCCCCTCTCCTAGTGTCCAACTTTCACTCAATTAGCTTTGCAGGAGTGGAGACTGAACCCAGGACCTTCACACTGCACTCCATCTCTAGCCCCTTTCATTTTTCACTTTGAGACAGGATCTCACTAAGGCTAAGTTGCCCAGGCTGGACTTAACTTGCAATACTCTTGCTTCAGCCTCTCACAGTGCTGGGATTATGGGCACGCACCACCACAATGGCCAGTCCTCACTTCTAAAACGAGGGTCCCAGAAACTTCTATAGATTTTTTTTGCACCCACCCTGCAGCATCAAAAACACACAAACACTAGTGGCCCTTATGCTAGAAGACTCTTTGCTGCAACACTAGGGGAGGTGCTATCATGTGACACATGACCTACGCCTCCGCGGCCCACACACGTGATCACAGGACTTCCTCTCTTCGAAAGAGGAAGCTGCTACCTGAGTACACATGAAGCCCATGCCAGTCCCGTACTTACCAAAGCAAAATGGAGTTTTTGGTTTCTGCTTTGGAGTAGCGACGCTCACCTATATTGAACAAGAAATAAAGAAAGAGAACATGAATGTGTATACACTGGTGTTAAAAACTCACTGTGGAAGTTTTCATACATCACCAGTACATCAAACACACACACATACTGATTACTTGTGTTTTTATATTTTAAGGACTAACAATCGAGAATCCTACACTTTTGCCTCGGCTAAGAAGCAGCCTTCCCACTCTGTCCCTGGAGCCTTTTGTGCACCCATCCCTAACAAAATCCCCGCCTCACACTGAGATAGAGGATACAGCGGCCACTGGATGCATTTGGACTCTGTGCAGCTCCCTTGAGAGCTACTCTGACCATCAAATGAGCCCTTCACCTGCCCAGAAAAGGGCCGATGATTCGGAGAGCTGCCTAGGTACTTCAGGTAGGGGCCTGCGGCAGAGCTCCCTTCCTGGCTCTAGCTTACCCTAGTTTGCAGTCTTCCCTCTTGCACGTGCATTCCCGAGACTCTGCACACAGGAGCCCTCATCATTCAGTTCAAACAACTCTTACTCTGTTCTGTGTGCACGTGGACTCTGCGGCTGTCCTTGAATGGGCTAGATTTCAGGAAGAGCTCTCTGTCACCCCACCTGGGAGGCCAAGGAACAGCCACCTGCCCACGGGACCTATCCACACTCTGTCATCATCCTCCCCTGGATACTATTCCTTAATCCCCTTCCCAGCCAAAATCAATGTTTCTTTGTCAGGTGTAGAGGTGCACACCTGTAACCCTAGCACTTTAGGAAGCTGGGGCCAGGACAGCGAGTTCACGCCCAGCCTGGTCAACTTTGTAAGACCCTGTCCCAAAATTTAAAAAATTTTAAAAGGCTGGGGATATAGTACAGTGCCAAGGCCCTGAGTTCAATTCCCAGTACAAACACAAAACAAAGCAAAATGAAAGTCTCTTCATAGCTCACTATTATTGGGGTCTAATAACGACCACCTCATCAGGCTACCTAGGTTCTTGCTCCTGATCCTAAGTTCTTCCATGCTCAGGTTCCTTAACCAAAATTAACACTGCCCAATGACTCAAACAAGAACAGAGTTAGCTATAAAAGATCAAAAGGACAGTACAGCCTGGCCTGTGGGGACCATCTCAATCCATAGGTATCCCAGCTGCGTGACCTCCATTTCATGTTTTATCCCATAAGGGTGAAGTGATGATACCATGTTCTTCCAGGGCTGATGTGAATCTGCAGCTAAGGCACTTACTCACCCTGCCCTGAAGAATCTGACCATGCCTGGAGGGATGGGTCACGGCTTCTGATAATGCATTTCTGTTACAAACCCACTCCACACAAGAATACAGCAGGGCCACCCCTGGAACTGTGGACAAAATGCTGACAGTCTATGAGCAAAACTGTGTGAGACTTGAAAGAACATACAGAACAGAGGGGGGCATATCTGATGTTAACAAATATTTAACTAAATGTTTCTATAACGTTTTTGTATCAGCCTTACTGACAAGTATTTAACCAAATGCATACAAGATGTCACATTAAATCAACTTGGCTAGTTTTCATTAAGCGTGCAAAATATTTTCATTACATTTGAAAATTATTTGTAGTGGACAGCTTAGTTCACAGGAGTTCTTGTGTGCATGCTGAAGATTGCCTAGAAACAGGATAAACCACATGCTCTGCTCCCCACCGCATCAGTCTAGACTAAAAAGCACTCTCTCAAGTATTCTACAGCTGAACAATTAGATGTAGTTCGTTTCCTTTTGTCAGAGAGGAAGAGTCCTGGGGTGGCAGAGGACGTCACATGGCAGAATGTGGCAGTGGGTGAACATTTATGTGTCCAAGCCGTTCTGCTTCATAAGGAAGATTGCTTAATGTTTCCTGTGATATGAGGCGGAGCCTATCCAGCCTTAGAAAGTTCTAGAAAACATGATGTAAGCAAACGCAAGCCCACAGATCCTGAGTTCAGATTCAGACTACACAAATTCCATCATGTCTGCACAAGGCAAGATGCTGGCTCCCACCATCACAGTCCTGGTTCCACATGTCTGCTTTTCTGGGGCATCAGTAGGAACCACAGTGGACACCTTGATGGTGCTTGGTCTGGCAGGCCAATGTGTTGTGACTTGTTTCTTGGGCTTCCCTTCAGCACCCGTGCTCCAGGACATCCTCCTGGCCATAACCCACCCTCTGCTTATCCTGCCCTTGGCTTCTGCATAACACTGATCACCGCAGAGCTGCTCTGGCCACCCTGGCCCCCGGCACCCACCGATCTCGTGGTCTCCCCTTCTCATCCAGCTTTCAAATGGCATTGAAAATCTGGGCACTGGAAGATGCTTTTTGGCTTACTAAGAAAATCATCCTTTTCTAAGAAATCCCCATTTATCCCTGATTAGAGAGTGTGGCTGGCTGATGTGCTCCCCCTACCCAGCTTAGAAATGGTTTGCTCTGCCTACAGCTTCTTGGCCAGTAAAAGCGCAGACCATGTGCTTATCATCGGTAGAGCGTGAGGGGCTTTTGTGCTTCTTATTCTGTTTCCGAGCTTTCAGTCAGGAGATACACTCGGGTGCACACATGCACATCTATAACGTGCCTCAACGCCTCTTGAATTTATCACAGAAGGATAATTTGGTAAAGGACTCATTGCCAAACTAACAGGGTCAGCTCTCACTCAGCCCTGACTGGCTCTGTAACAAGGGTTCTGTCCATCAACATCCTTTGACCAGCTCCCCAGTGGAAACACTTGTCTCCTTCTCAACAGCAAGAGAAGAAAATGAAACTCCATCTACCTGTTGCTGTGCCCCACAGAGAAGGGCTGAATGGGGGATTACTTCTCATTTTGTATGGAGATACGGCTGTGGCCTCTCCCCGAAGCCCTGCTCACCACAGTGGGTGGTGTGATCTCCACTCCCCACTTACAACCCACGGGTGACTGTGCAGGTGGTTACAGTGTCCTCAGACAGGGCCCAGCAGAGGACCCACGCATGGCGGTGCAGCTGCCAATGGGTAAAGACACCTGGCAGTGTGACTCAAATGAGGGCCCCAGGCACGAGCAGTCCACACCCCAGGCAGCCACAGCAGAGGCGCTGCACACGGTTGGCTGGCAACACACCGACAGAAACAGACAGCTGGGGATGTGATGAGGGGGGCAGGCAAGGCTCACCCAGCCAGCGGTGCGGGCAAAGCTGCTGCACTGTTCAGCAGACGCAGGAACTGCTGTTATCAGATGGAATGCTGACCACAGAGGCAGCAGCTCATCAGTATTAAGCTGGGCTGGGGTCAGCCCCACCCGCTGGCCCTAGGCCAGCAGTAGAGCTGGGGCTCCTCTGACAGAAGGTCTCACAGCACCGCAGGGCTCTGCCCCAGGGTCTGGGGTCACCTTGCCCCTGTACTCAGGCAGAGCAGGGGAATAAGCCAAGTGTGGGGGCGCATGCCTTTCCTCCCAACACTCTGGGAGGCTGAGCCAGGAGGACCACAATTTCAAGCCCAGCCTGGTCAACTTAGCAAAACTCTGTGTCAAAACCTTTAAAAAATTAAAAGAACTGGGTATGCAGCTCAGTGTGAAGGCCTTGGGTTCCAACCCAGGACCACTAACTAATAAATGCAGCAGATGGTGAGAATGGAAGAAGGGGGCCGGGAGGCAAGGAAGGAGGGCAGGCAGGTGGTACCCGATCACCAGCCTTGACTTTATTCCATGGCTGGCCAGGAAGAGGTTTTGCTGCAGTGACCATCCCAAGTGACATCGGACTGGGTGTGGGCATCTCCAGTTTGCTTCTCTGGAAAACTACATGCTGGTCTCCCTCTTCTCACCACTGACCCTCTGCAGACACCCACAGCAGCCCAACCGAAAGGCTGTGTGGCACCGTGGCTACTCACCTCCCCTGGGAGGGAAGATGTGGAGTAACAAGCAACATCCTGAGCCAGGCGAGCGGTGCAAACCTGTAATCCTTACACTGAGGCTGAGGCAGGAGAATTAAAAGTTAGAGCCCAGCCCGGGCAATTTAGTAATTCCAAATAAACAGAAAAGGGGCTGAGAATGTAGCTCAATGTGAAGACCTTGGGGTCAAGCCCAGGAAGAGCAAAGTGGGGAAAAGGAGCCAGAAGGACACAGACAGCGACAACCAGACAACCAGAATGGCTGACTTGGGACCCAGCACCAGAGCTGAACGCTTTGCTGGGAAAACCCCTGCCTTTTGGCACTGGGTCAGCAGGAGTTAAAGGATCTGGACTCGATGTAACCTGAACCAGTAGCAGCTGTGGATATTGCAAAAGGCCCACACAGGCCCGCAGGCCCATCCCAGCAAGGGCTGAAAGTCAGGTCATCTTTTCTAAAGGAGGCAGCCTCCACGGCAGAAAATACTGAAAGCCCTCATCTGAGCCGCATTTATAAATCATGATTCAGCAGGAGATTATATTCACCCTTCCCTCCCCCCAAAAGTCTTTCCAAACCCTCTCAAACAGGAGAGTTTCAGCTTTGATTTTTTTACAGGCTGTCTGTTCCCTGCTTTCTGGAGAAATGAGCTCACAGAGTGCAAAGAGGACAGGACAGGAAGGCAAGCCCAGGCCTTGGGCTGAGCTGGCCTGGCCTGGCCTGGGGAGGCAGCCACATTCTTACCACAAGGCATGCACAAATTGCCTGCAGCTGCGCTAGCAGGGGGGCCTCTGCGCCCTTCCCTCTTCCCCTAGGCCATGACTTCTCTGTCTCCTGCACTCTGCACTGCCCACTGTCTTCTGCCTTTGCGGGCTGTAGCTGCCAGCTCTGCCTGGAGCCCACAGGCTCAGGTGGCCTGGCCACTCCTCCTGCAGCTGGGCCCCTCCGGAGAGGAGGAGGAACACATGGTCCCTGAAGTGTGTTACCAGATGGAGAGGGGCCGCTCAGCTCCATGACCCCTCCAGGGGGCCCAGAGGGCAGGAGAAGGTGAGCAAGGACACAGCGGCCCCCAGGAGGCCTGCAGGGAGGCTGCGTGGGGAGAGCAGCCCTTCCTGAGCTGCAGTGCTGGCTGGGCGCCACCTGACTCTCCTCTCTGTACAAAGCGTTCCTCTTTCTGGGGAGGTTCTCAATCCCTAGGCTTTTTATCACTGCTGCATCGCTGAGCACCAGTGGTGGGCTGCTAAAAGTTGCTGAATTCAGCAGTTACTGTGGACGCAGCCCCCATCCCAAATTCTGGCAAAGAAGAGGGGCTGCTCTGCCCCCACTGCAATCCGGACCAGGGCAGGGCCCATCCACTGCTGGCCAAACTCTCTGCCAGCAGCTATCTGGCTGCTGAATTGGATCCAGGCATGTACGGAGCAGCTATTCCCTGAGCTTTCTCAGTCTTTCCTCGGAGGGCATCCTATCCAAGTGGCTGCCACAACCCTGAAATGCTGCAGTTGAACTCTGGGAGAACCCTTTACAGCTTCTGGATTTGTGTTCCTTTTTGTCCCAGTTAGAAAAATGTTTGCAACATCTCAGTCCTACTCCCAGGTTGATTACAATCTACATCTACCATTCCCTTTGTTAGAGAACACCATACACTACCAAAATTTAGAACAAAGTCCTGAAATCCCAAACACTTCCAGTCCCAATATCCCCCATAGACCTGTCAAAGGCACGGTGCCCCGTGTGGGACTACTGGGAGTGGCACAGCCTTCAGGAGATAGGTGCAGTGGAAGGTGGCTGGGAGGTACCTCGGACGGCATCGTGGGTGTCCTCAGCCTCTCTCTCCTCCTCTGTTTTGGATTCCCAGCTACAAGGTAAGTGGCTTCGTTCTGCCATCTACTTCCACCATGATAATATGCTGGCCCACCACAGGGTCCAAGAGCAACCAGGCCATCCCTTCATGGGCAGAAACCCCTGAAACTGAGCAAAGTAAACCTTTCCCTATGGAAGTCGATGATCTCAGGTATTTGGTGCAGGGACAGAGAGCTGACCAACACCAGAGGGCTCCTCACCCTAATCTGCACTCACCCATCCGGCGGTGGGGGTTGGGGAGGGAGCACTGCAAGGCCACAGAGTGTCCCCTGATGCTAACACCCCAAGGATGTGCCACTCACTTGCTCATTTAGCTACTGAGAGAACAAGGATTTCCAGAACACCAGGTCAGTGTTACCTTTGAGATGTAGGTCAGCTGCAAAGATCCAACAGCTCCGGCCCCCACTGCCAGGTTCTGAAAGACACATGTGGTTCACGTTAAGAAGGACGCTGCACAAGGTAGTGAAAACCACAGAAGACACAGACCTGCGTTCAGCTCATGACGTGTCAGCCTCGAAACCTTACTCAGATCATATCCATCTGGGGGCTCACTTTGCTCATCTGTAAAACAGGATGATCACAGCTCCTGAACGACTCCAGTGACAATAACTTGGACTACTGATGGCAACCTGTACTGCTAACATGCACCGCACCCTCCTAATCACAGTGAGTGATTCTAGGACAGCGGTAAATGTGTGCTCCCCCATGTGACTCTCAAGGCTTCAGCTTCCCTTCTGCAGACACAGCAATGACAATACAGGTTGCACCACCCTAACCTGAGATGCTTAGGACTGGAAGTGATTGGGATTTCAGGACTTTGTTCTAAATCTTGGAATTTTTATATATGCAATGAAAAATCCTGGGGCTAGGACTCCAGTCTAAACACAAAATTTCATTTATGTTTCATAAACACATGATACACCCAGCCTGGAAATGATTTTATATATTATTTTTAGTGCACTTATACTGTGATTACAACTAATTCTCATAAAGTTAGGTGTGGAATTTATGCAACATATTACATTCAAAAAGTTTTGAGTTTTGGGGCATTTAACACATTGGATTTCAAATCTAACCTTGGATTCCAGTTGGAAAGATGAGTTCACACATTTAAGAGCCCTTGGAATTATTCTTGGTACATAGAATACTCTAACAAGTGCCAGCTCTTGGATTTTTTCTGCCGACTGTTCTGATTTCAATGGTTTTATCCTATTTTATACCATTTCAAAATTCTTTTCAAAACTGACAGTATACAAACTCAGTAAATACAGTGGTACCTCAGTTCATGAACTCAATTCTCTCCACGATTCTGGTCACAAACCGAACTGGAAGAGAACTAAATCATATATCCCTGAAGATCGACACTGAACCTATCCACTGAATTTGATTCAGTTCTCTTCCAACTGAGTTTGCAACCAGAATCATGGAACATATTAAGTTCATGAACCAAGGCATCACTGTATAGAAATTTAAAAAAAAAAACCTGTTTGTTTATGTCATAGGACTGTTATGAACACCAAATATAACAAATCTGTACATTAAAAAACACGAAGTAAATGCACTGTTAAAATAACAGGGAGGGCTGGGGATGTAGTCACTACCTTGCATGCACAAGGCCCCGGGTTCAATTCCTAGCACCACCAAAAAAAAACAGGGAGCTCACAGGCACCATGTCCAACAATAAATCTCCCCTCGGCATACATACCCTTGGCTTTCTCATCTCTCCATGTAAGGGATGAAATAATTGAGACACGGTGACATTAACACACCATGTAAAGGCAAGGCTAGAAATAACAGATGTGGTGTTTCCAGTGTTTAACTTGGAACCTCCCCTCCATCAACCTGAGGGTCTGCCTGCAGCTCCTGGTGACCTCTAAAGCTGTTGCCACTGGTCTGCCAGAAATATCTGTGAGTCCCCCAATACCAGGAGCTATCGCAAAACAATAAAAGGAGCACACATTATGAGAATTTCATGAGAATTTAATGCATTGAGCTGAGAACTGACAGAGGAATGAGATCACTCCAGGAGAGGCCGGGAAAGTCCCAGTGGGTAGGGAAGAGCCCTCGCCCAGTCACTGAGATCAACACACATGTCAGGAACAAATGCAGCATGTGAAAAGAAAATGGACAAAGTAACACAGCAGTAAAAGGACTCCATCTGCCCCTCTTTCAGTGAGGGAGGAAATGTAAAAACCGCCTTGGATGTGCTCAGGAGGAAGCTCCATCGGTACCAGGCTCACCTAGCAAGCACGGCCCCATCTAGCTCATGCCCAGCCCTGCAAAGAAAGCAAGCAATGAAAGGGGGCCAGGAGTTAGCTCAGCGGCACAGCACCTGCCTGGCAAGTTCAGCGTCTTGAGTTTGATACCTGGTACAGGAAGGAAAGAAGGAAGGAAAGAAAGAAAGACACAGAAAGACAGAAAGACAGACACACGGAAAGAAAGACAGACAGAAAGCAAGCAAGCAATGAAAGCTGCCTCAAAGTACCAAATTAGCATTTAAAATGGGGTGATCCATTTACAATGTCACCCGCATTTGCACACTTTGTCTATTTCATAGCTGCGTTAAAAAAAAAAAAAAAAAAAAGGTATCTCTATGAAGTTGAGAAAGACAGGTTTTGTTACTCCCAAGTCAGACTCCAAAGAGGTGTGACCAGGCCCTCAAAAAGTCAGGAGTGACAGACACTACCAGAGGGGACTGTGACCCGCTTGGCATTCAGCTCTGCTCAGTTCCAGACTGGCGGGCAGGCTAGGAAGGTGACTTGCAAGGCAAGGGATTTGTCCAAGCTCATGAAACTGGCAGCAGAGCCTGAAACCAAGCCTGGTTCTCCTGAATTCCACGCTAATGCCCTGGATGTAGCATGGGGTAATTTTAAAAGCCTGAGCGGCTACAATTCTAGCTGGGACAGTAACATTCCCTGACTGGAGGCAGGGTTCTTTTCCTATAAAATAGAGATAATGAGCCCTGTGTCATAGGGCGGCTGAGAGAATGACATGAAAACACACAGCAAGAGCCCAGTGCACGGCAGCTCCTGGCCCCTCCACCGGGCTAATTACACAAGGCGAACGCCAAGGCTCAGGGCCACTGTTGCATAACCCTCTCCTCACCCCTGATGACCACAGCCCAAATGCCCCCGGGCCCCATCCTGAATGGCCAGTGATGGAGGAGGGCTGGGGAGGCGCGTGGGCACCATCCCACATGTGATGACAGACAGGGCTGCCCACATTTCAACCACTGCACCCCTCCAAGCTCCTGGAGGCTGTTCCACCCACCTCCTAGCCTCGTGCCAGCTCGAAAAAGTGAGGCAGCTGCCCAGTGACCCAGGGGTGCAGTGGGGTCCACGACCCACCCTATCCTTCTCCTGGGCTCCAAGGTAGCCCCTCTTCACCACAAGAACTGAGGAAAATTTGAGGAATGTCTGAGAATACTGCTTCCCTGCCATGGCCCTCCCCACCCAGGAGATATGGAGGGCACCAGAGAAAACAGATTAAGGACTCCTGAGGACTGATCCACGGTGACACTCCAAGTCCACACCAATTACTGGACCCAGAAGACGACGGTGACAGCTCGCTGCCAGGGTGTCACAGAGGTAGCCCCAGACAGACCCTTCCCACTCAAGGAAGGAGCTATAAGAGGGCCTGAGGTGACACCCTGGACATCAGGACAGGAAGCCAGGAACAGGCAGCACCCCCAGAGGGACACAGTGGCAGAGCTGGAGACAGGAACCACGTGCACTGCCTGCTGAGCTCCCCCAGACAAAGGACCTCTGGGATCCTCCTCCAGAGCCTGCCCTGCACACCTGCAGCCTGCCCCGACCCCTGCCTCTGAATTCTTTCTCTGTGTCCAGCACTCACCAGAACCCCTGGGCAGCTCATGTCCAGCTTCACCTGTAGAACACTGAGTCAGAATCAAGGGGATCGTGATCAGAGACAGATCCCCGGTGACCTCCAAACAGGCTCCAGTATAAGGACAGCTAGCTGGGTGAGGTGGCACATAGCTGTAATGCCAGCTACTCGAGTCAGAGGCAGGAGTTCTGCAAGTTCAAAGCCAGCATGGGCAATTTTGTGAGAGATCCCCAGGTCAAAATAAAGTTTTAAAAGGGCTGGGATGTTGCAAATGACTTAGCATGGATAAGTCCCTAGAGTTACTCTTCACTAGAGCAAAAAAAAAACCCCCCAAAACATCCAGCTGTTAATGGGACAAAGTCAAGCCCTGGACGTTGTACTGGTGTTTGCTTTTCTGTGCATTTATGCCTCTTTTTGCCAGGTAGTCAGCACACTGGTGATAGGACAGCACCTGCCAAGGTGAAGACCTCTGGCAGGTGAGGAACACAGAGAGACCTGGGTGGTGGGAACACGCTGAACTTTTATTTATTACTCTATTTTAGTGCTGGGAATTGAACCCAGATCCTCAAGCAACTAAGCACAAACTCTTTTTTTCCTTAACGGGGAATACATTCTGGAAGGCTGTTTATGTGAATCACCTGGGGACATTTTAAAAATTGTGTTTAATTGCTACATTGTCATTACACACCTGAGAAGTACAACGTGACAGTTCCAACATGTGTACAATGTGTAATGCTCAGATGAGAGTAACTGGCCCAGGATTCCCTCAGGCAGTGATCAATTCTTTGTGTGGAGAACAACCAAAATCCTCTCTATAACTATTTTGAAATATATCATTAATTACTGAGCCATAGTTGCCCTGATAAGCATATAATCTGTGGGGATTCCCCATACACACTGGGGATTGAACCCAAAACCTTCACAATGAACTATATCTCCAGCCCTTTGTTTTTTATTTTGAGACAGGGTCTTGCTGAACTGCCCAGGCTGAGCTTGACCTTGAGATCCTCCTGCCTCAGCCTCCCAGATTGCTGGAATTATAGGCCTGCACCACCAGACCAGGCTAGAACCTGGGGAGATTCTTAAAACCAACAAATACTCGGGCTTTGACCCCACAATTTGAAATGATTCCGGCCAGGGTCCAGCACCTGTGTGTGTTCAGAGCTCTTTAGGACACTGCTATCCACCAAGGTGGAGGAGCTGACTGCAGGTCCTGGCTGGCCCTGCTGACTATGTGCAGAGACCCAGCAGCTGGTGCGGGATGAGGCCACTCCCAATCCACAGATGAACCCGGTGACTGTAGCCCTGGCAGCAGTCAGGAAGGAGGAAGGGGAGAGATCAGCAGGGTGAGAAAGGAGAGTCGAGCGTGCCATGCATGGCTGGCAGCCACCCTTGCGTAAGGAAGGCTGTGAATCAGACATAGCCTGGGTGTTTCTTGGCTTGTAAATTTTCTGGAACAATGTAGGCCACAGGGATGGTTCCTGTTCACGGACAAACACTTCTGCAAAGATGCCACCAACGCTTTGGGTTTTGCTCAAGATCTCTTCTGCCCCTGAGAGGGGAGTACACACA